TTCATATACATAGAATATTTAAATGGAAGTTTGTGGATGAGAGCAACCAGCTTCTGGTATATGGACACTGCTCTCTCTGGGAATGGGGTCAGAAGACACCAAGTTGTGTCACAGACCCATTTGTGTGACTCTGGACAAGTTATGTTGTCAACTTTTTTTGATTCAGAATTGTCTTTTGCTTCCTTTCTTTCCCCCCTGTGCTTGCATTCTTTTGCTGGTTGGATTGTTTAGTTGTTCAGGACTGTCTTTTTTTAGGTACATATGGCTCCTACCATGAAACTCCTTTTTCTGTTGCTGCTGCAGTAATTCACATGCCTGTGCTTGGGTGGGCTAGGGGAGGGGAAACGTTAAAGATTTGTGTGTGTTTTGTGCTGTGGAAACATACGCATTTCTGAATGTCTGCCCGTGATTTTTTCCCAGTGCTTTCATGTGTGAGAGGGACAGATAAATGGGAACTTAAGCATGAAAGTGGGAAGGTAAAAGCAGGCACTTACCTGTGCAGGTGAGCACGTACACAATCTTTATATCCATAAACTGCCTGTCTGTGAGGCACCACATGCGTGCGCGGGTGTATGTGCTGTTGTAGAGCAGCATCCAGGTGTAAGCCTGATTATCTTCCCACACATCTTTTAATGAGTGTGGAATAAGCTGTACATACAGCTGACGTAGGTGCGCCTGGACTTTTCACACTTTAAGCAGATGCAGAGTCCTTAGTCCTCCATATGAAGAAAATCTACTCAAAAACTGACTTTATCTCTGTCTTTAGTTTATTTTGGTTGAGCTCAGAGCCTGTGATGAGGAAAAATGTAGCAGAGATGTAGCATATATTTTCCTGCCCACTGCATGTCCGGACAGCGTAGCTGAATGTATAGGCTTTGTACGCCTGGAGCTGGTGGGTGAGCTGTTCAGGCCAGGACAGAGAGCCTGTCTGTGTCTTAGTCAGTACATCATTCCTGGCTTGCTTTTTCCACAAAGAGTCACCTAAATCTTTAAAGAACAGAGGCGGCTTGTTGGAGTAGTGGAAAGAAATTCTGTAGCTCTGCTAGTTCATTTTTTTAGTATCTCTTGAATCTTTCTGAGATTAAGGATGTGGTTCCAGGCATGCTGGAGTTTTTTTTCTGCTTTGAAATCAAACAAAAGGGCCTAGCTATAGATAAGGGTATGACAAGGAAAGTTAACCCTTAGGTTGCTAGTAAATTTTTGGGTTTATTTCCAGCTTAACACTGTCTGGAGTGTGACTGGATGGCACTGGCTCCCCTTCTTTAGAATGAAGAAAAAGACTTTAATGTCTTCCAGCAGGATCATCAAGTGGAGTGAAGCACTGCCAAGTTCAGTCTGAGCTGCAGGGCCCAGTGATTAAAAACAGGCCTGTGCCTTGAGGAGCCGGCAGATGAGGCTGTGTGTGACTGGCCCCACATTGCTTCTCCTTGCGAGGCAGGGCAGTCCCTGTCCAAACTGGAGATGTTGTCATATACTGGGAGTTTCAGGCACATTTGACTACATCATTTTACAAGCTCTGAGACCTGATAGACTGCTTAGACTGCTCTTTCTATGAACCTTAACACTACTTTTCTAAGCCATGGACAAGTTCTGCAGCCACTGCACAGATGAACAATTTCTCCAAGGCCAACTTTTAAGTGCCACTAACTGCAGCTCTTATGCTTTTTCTCTCTTACCAACCGTAATGATCTTGCTGCCAAAAGACTCAGCCTGGGTGCACTCTTTCTTCTGAGCAGCATCTCTGGTGGCCTGGCTCTATGGCTCTGCAAAAAAAAAAAGTAGGATAGAGAGAAAAAACATGGAGCTGCAGTGTTTTCATAACTGAAAAATGTAACAAAGGGAAAGTCACAGTTATCAAAAGACTTATCTTGAGTGAAATATTTTGTCTGAGCAATGTTTGGTGGTCCTTTCTAATGCTTTCCTGGAGAATTAGGGTTGAATTTCAAGGGAGAATGAAGGGCATAGATCTACAACTGGAGTAGGTCAGAGTGGGACTGCCAAACCTGGGTGGGAGGCAGCTGAGAGAGCTGGGCTGCAAGAAGTCTTTCACCCCAGCAATGGCGTGAGTCCTCTTCCCACCAAAAAATGGCCTATGCAGACTGTGTGATCTCATTAGCACAGCCCTTCAGCAGACACTGTCACACAAGAAGAAACCCATGCTTGTGCCTGCTCCGTTCACCCATCCTGTGATAGGTAGATAATTTTCCTCCATCATGTTTGTTTCATGCCTGGTTTTTCTTGTTACTTATTTGAAATGTTCTTTCAAATAAAGGAGGTGAAGACTATTTCAATGCTTTTATTTCTTTCAAAGATTGTTGCTTTCATCAAGGAGAAAAATGTAACTGACCTTAATGTGTAAGGAGGAAAGATGGGATCCCCAGCATCTGGCTGTGCAGGAGACACCCACAATGATGGTGATACTGAAGGGTCCATCTGCTGCTCCATCTGAGTCTCAAAGGAGATCACCCTTACATCTCTGTTGCCTTAGCATCACTTTCCTTAATCTCTGTGTTGATGGTCTCTATTTGACTGTAGTCCTCTTGTCTCCAGAAGTCACTCACTGTAGATTGCACCTACAGAAAAGCTATTGCTGTTGTGATCCAAGCTGATAGTGAAAGCAAGGACTGATGTGGCCTGAAATATGTTAGAGATGTTGCTATCACAGACCAGTCAAGGCTGGGGAAAAGTAAATTCTCTTCAGTGGAGATTATGCATACACTTGTTCTGCGTGTTCTTGCTTATGTGTCTGTATCTGACACTGCCTTTGTCCTTGATCTGAGCTAAGTGTAGAACATCAGAACATGAGCTTATAGAAGAACATTGTATATGAGCTTTATGTCTGGGGAATGCAGAGCATTTACCTCTTTTCCAGAGTTTTCTCTAGACAGACCCGTTAGGAAACAGATTCAGCAAGTAGGGATTTGAGAAAAAAGGGCTGCAATTGCCCTGACACGTGCCACGTCCCGATCTCCCTGAATGTATAAGTCTTGCATCTAGAAAAGTGGACAAAATGTATCATTTTAAGGAAATAGGTATGCCCCATCATGACAGCAGGGATTACATGATGTGATTATAAAGCAATCCGTGCAAAAGCAAAAAGAGATTCCCTATCCTAGAAACTGACTTCAGAGGTACCCAACTCTGTGAAAACTCAAAGAGATTAGAAATAAGAACTAGTAAAACCTTTACTCTGCAATAAGCCAAGTATATACACTGATAAAGATAAGTCACTCCCATGCTCCAGGGCATGCTCTCCTGCCAGGATGAGGGAATTTCCTTTGAGACTTTTCATGGCTCTCCAGCTTTGATACTGTAATGCAGTTGTGTAGGCTGTGGTGTAAGGAAAGTTTCTGTCTTCTGATGTATAACAAACAGGCAGGGAAAGGAAATTGGAGTTCAGGATTCTTCTTGCAACTTTCATTCAATGAGTTGAAACTGATAATGAGAGGTTTGTTTCACTGAGGATTCTGCAGGCTTGGACTGAATATAGAAAGCAGGTATGGTGTCTCCTATGAAGAACAGTGATCAGTGGTTAGGGAATGTCCTCCCAGGAGTTACCAGCCTCTCATGAACGTAGCGCTAAAAAAAAAAATCAAGACATAGTCACTAGTGGGGGAAGGTAAGTAGAGACTTCAGAAATTACCAAATTCCCTGTCCTGGTATGAGAACATATGTGCAAGTGTTAAAACACTGCTTCTGGCTATTGGGTATGAAACAGTGTTACTCCAATATTGCATGCTACTTTTTTTTTTCAGACCTGAAGGTTTAACTGAATGCTGAATGAATGATCTAAAGATCCTTGATATCTATAGAAAACTTCTTGTAGTTTTGAGAAATCCCTGAATAGAATTTCCTACCTGCTCTGGTCTGGTTTTATGTGAAATTCTGAGAGTAGATTCTGGGATTCCCTTACTTACTGAATTTTTATTGCCAATACATTGACTTGGATACTATCTTCCCTCACTCCACCAAACATTGTAGGGTGCCAGAATGAGAGTTTCAGAACTCAACTCAGTGGCAGTCCTTTTAGATGGAGTAGTCTCCTAGTGGTAGGGATTGAACTAAGATCTCTGGCTCATACAGCCTGAGCCCCTTCTGTGTTGCTGAATGGTCTGATGGCAGAAAAGTGGCATTCAGCAGCTGGTATTAGCCAGGAGCTCCACACTCCCCAAAGAAACAGACAGTGCTTCATACTTAATGTTATATGTATACAGTAGATCTGACTAAAGAATTAACATAGGCCAGTACGGTTTTATACAATATGGTGCTTCTGGTATTTTCAAGATAAAAGAAGTACAGCACACAGTTTTTAGTAGGAAGGGCAATGGATTTTGCATGATTTTTACTGTTTTTTTTTTTTTTTTTTTTTCATTTTTAATTTTTATTCAGCAAGTTTAATTAAAGGAAGAGATATAGAAAGAGTCTTCCAGGATGGCGGAAGATTCTCACACTATCCCATTTTAATGTTGACAACTGTACTCTGCTGTGTTAGCATTCCCCCCTAGTGGGATTGCTGCCTGTTGGGCTGGCCAGCTGTAAACTAGTGTAGGGCAGCTGTGTGACAGCTGGGTGCATGCAGCAAGGACTTGTGCAACAGTGGGTGCATGCAGCAAGGACTTGTGTCCCATAAAGTCAATGTAGCCTTTGTTTTGGTCTTCTTGGGATGGAAGATGCAATGAGAATATAATTACTTAATCTAAATCCATCACAGCTGTGGAATCATCATATACATAACCTTAAGCCCACCTTCCTGGTGTGTGAGATAAAAAAAAACAGCTTAGGGAAGAGGAGTTTGAAGCATGGTTAAGTAGGAAAAAAAAATATTCATCATGTAATTCTTGTTTTTTAAAATAGCTTTATTCTTCAGAGTCTGTTAGAATCTGGACCTTCACAAAGGCTGCCCCCTCCATGTGAGAGCTCCCCTCCTTGTGTGCCCCAAGCAACAGCTCGGGAAGAGTTTAAGCTGACCCCCAGATGTCTCTCTTGCTCTCTGCTGTCAGGGATCTTTGGGCAGCGCCTGGAGGACACCGTACAGTACGAGCGGAAGTATGGCCAGCGCTTGGCCCCGCTGCTGGTGGAACAGTGCGTGGATTTTATTCGGGAGCGAGGGCTTACAGAGGAGGGGCTCTTTCGGATGCCTGGACAAGCCAACCTTGTCAAAGATCTGCAGGATTCTTTTGATTGTGGAGAGAAACCCCTTTTTGACAGGTGAGTTGACATCACCAAATTCAGGCTGGTGTATATGTGACACGTAAAATCTGCCAGGAATGTCCATGCAGTGGCAATCCTAGCTTACATGTTCCTTCCACACCATCTGTTAAAAGCGCTGATGGAGCTTTCTCCTGCATGGTGGTGGGTGTGGAGACCTTTATTCAGCTCTGTGGTGGAACAGAGCTCACTGGTCAGTGTGGGGCTCCTCCAGTGTTTCAGCTTAAGCACATGTTGAATGAAAAGCATTGCTAGATTTGGGTGCAGTAAACTGAGCAGCTGGTGGGATCCCACCACAGAAATGGGTGTGACAGAGGTGAACTAGGTGATGTACTGCTTTCAGAGCTTGCACCCTCCCAGCAGATCTGCCTGGAGCAATATCTTGACTCTTCCTTTGTCACCAGATTTCAGAATAGTCACCACCATCTGACGTGTTCTGCCTGGCCATTATGCCAGCAGCTGTTTTGTAGATGCTCACCTCAATGTTGATTCCCATGGAAGGAGTGTCAACCCTGTCTCTGAGTGCTCCATCCAAGGGCAGCCAAGGAAAAACATGGGCCCTCAGGCAGTCAGATGAGCAGCAAGATGAATGCTATGATTGCTGTCAAGGCCTTCCAGCCAAAAGCTGTCCTTACCCTGTAACTAACATTTCATCCGCTCTGTCATACATACATCCTGCCTGAAGTGAAGGTCAGCACTGTGCAAAGCTTAATAGCCCTTTGTGAAATAGGGCTTAACCATAACAGAGAACTTGAACTTCAGGGGATCCAAGGGCATTGTGTAGATTGTTGGGTCTGATCGCTACCATAGGTCCACAAATGAGATCAGATCTTGGATGTCTGGCACCATTTCTTGTTGGTACTCACCAGCCCAGATTTTCCAGGTGATGCCAGTGGCATTTGGTGTATTTCCAGTATATTAACCTTGGCAGATTGCTTTCCCTTGACCTGCAGCCAGTCTCGACATTGCCAATCCCTTCCCTGCTTACCACTGCAGGAAGAGCTAGCACTATCTCCTGCGTGGGCAGAAACAGTGTTTGGTCTCATCTTAGGAAGTATATCTTCAGAGTTTATTTGTAACATTCTTCTAATTCTTCCCTTCCCTCAGCTTCCCAGACCACCCATCCTCCTTTCTTTGATTCCTAACCACAAACAGTATTTGCTCCCTAAATGGAAGTGTCAAACATTTAGAAATACTTTCATGAAAAAATAAGTTTGAAATCATCAAATAGTCTCAGTTAATATTTTCTTAAACAAAACCTTTGTATTTTTAACTGAATGTCTGCATTCTAGTCCATAATTAGAATTATCCTTATTCAGTGATTACACTGTGGAACAGGAGTATCTACAGAAGGAAGTAATTAGGAATGAAAGTTTCAATTTCAAGTTTTACTTTAGCCTTATCTAACTTATTTGTTATGTAGATAAACCAAGCCTCCAACCAGCATTTTTAAAGCAAAATACAGTTGTACAATGGTTCGGATTGGAAGGGATCCTAAAGTTCATCTCCTTCAAGCCCCTTGCCGTGGGCAGGGATACCTTCTACTAGACCAGGATCCTCAGAGCCCATTCAACCTGGCTTTGAACACTTCCAGGGATGGGATATCCACAGCTCCTCTAGGCAACCTCTTCCAGTGCCTGGCCCACCTCAGGTGCAGTAAGAACCTTTATTTCCACAGACATTTGCACTGGCTAAATAGATCAGTGTAAGTCTTCCCTTTAAGAGAGTCGCTATGGACCTCCAGGAAGGACTGCCTGCCTTTTGGGTAGTCAGTGTGTAATGCAGCAACTGAAGGTTCAGTGCAGAATCAAAGGAAGCAAGCCTGGAGTACCTAAGCAGTGGAACATGGAGGGTGTCCCATTTTTTGCCTTTTGCTCTTTTCACCATGACCCCATACAGTCTGTCTTAGACATCTGTAGTCACAGAGAGCACTAAGGGAGAGGGAGTTCCGCTCTGGCTAAATGAAATGTTTTTCCTCCTAGCAGCCATAATTTTCTCTTTGTGTAACTATAATTTATCTCTGCATTACCTGGGATACATTGGCAGCAGAAGTGTGAAACCCTTATGCTTCTTTCTAAATCAGGTGCAGTGAAAGGAATATTCTTTCTTATTTCCCAGCTGCAGTCAGCGCTTTTAGACATCTTTTGTAACTACAGTGGTATCCCAGGTGTTTATAGCCCCCCCTGCCCCAAGATGGATCAAACCTTTGTGATGACTGACACTTAAAATACTTATTTTTAAAAGACTTTCTTTTCCAATGTTCTTATGAAAGGGCAGGTGTTGCTGTTTTGGAAGCACCTATAGCAGTCTGCTCCTGTTGCACTTTCATGCCACTGAAAGTCTGGCTGTATCTGTTCAGACTTCCAACAGTCAAAACCTTTGAGGAGGTCATCTGCAATGATTTACAGTCTTGTACCACAGGAAAATCGGAATGAGGGAGAGATACCTCCATACACCAGAAGCTGGGTAGCTGGAAAAGGTTCATCATAGAATCTGACTCTTCAACCCCAATTTTAAAGCAAAGGAGAAAGAAGAGGAAAAAGAAGTTCCTGGATTGGGAGAGAAAATAAAAGCTGATATCCTGTCATAATAGACGGGCTAGGAAATTCCAGATACCACAAGTCAGGCAGCCATACCAAAGGGTAACAGAGGACCTGGAGGAAATACAGCTTCTTCCTTTTCTTTTTGAATGATCGACCAGGGCATGTGGGAGCCCAGCCCAGCAGCTGTACATGTGTGCTGGCAGGGGAGAGTATCAGGAAGGATCAGTGAAAGACTCAGAGGTTGTTTCATGGGGCAGTGATGAATCTGTTGTTAATGCTGTGTGATCACTGTGCACTTGCCTGGGCTATTCCTCACATTCCTGGTCCACACTAGCAGAGGAACCACAGTGTCACCCTACCTTAAGCAGTGTCATGGGTATATCCCTTCGACTGAGGTGCATTTCTATCTTGACAGAATGGAGGTTTCCCTTGTTCCCAGGTAGACCTTCCTGCCTAGTACCCATGACTGGCAGAAGAGCTTCCTTCCATGTGCCTACTTTGTCCCTAAGAGGGACCTTGATACACCCTCAACAAAAGGCATCAAGCTTTGAGGTAGTGTGAGTTTCTAAATTTCCTTCCCTCTTCTCTGTTGCAGCAACACAGATGTTCACACTGTGGCGTCCCTCCTGAAGCTTTACCTTCGAGAGCTGCCAGAGCCTGTCATCCCCTTTGCCAAATATGAAGACTTTCTTTCTTGTGGACAGCTGCTCTCAAAAGATGAGGGAGAGGTCAGTGATCCTTCTAATCTGCCTCCTGAGAGGCTGTTACCAAGAATCAATATAGTAGAGTTTTTTCCCTCATCTCTTAAACTTGATTTAAATGAATGAAGTCCTTGGGAACCTTTCCCTGAATTTTCCTGAAGCTGTGAATGGGGTGCTGTTATCACAGGCTGCTGCTTAAAAAAAAAAGTCATTCTTGTAGCCTGGTGCTTCTTTCTTCAGAGCAAAGCTCTTGTGTAGCATAATTGGCAAGATATGCAAGAGGAGGAAATCTGGGTTCCTTTCCCAGCTTTGCTGTTCACTCACTAATAAGCTGTATGGAGTTGCTCCCTTTGTCTGTGTTTTCCATTTAATATATCAGAACAGTATACTCTCTTTCCCAAATATTTTGGTGGATGAGACATTGATCAGTGCAATGTTCTTTGTATTTCTTAGAGGAAAGGCACTGTGATAAGGCAGGCTATCATATTATCCTAGAATAGTGGGGAAATAATGCTATGAATACTTTGCCAGAACCTTCTTACCATGTTCTCTTCGGTTTCCAGACAAGGGAAAGGGCTGACAAAAACTACAGGTCTGTGCTAGTCATGGAACTGGATCATTTGCAATATGTTTGATTGATCTGTTTCATCCATATTGTGGGGCTTTCTTAGCCCTTTGCAGTTGCAAAGGCACATTAGATCTGGTCTGATGTGGGTGCCACCTTCTAGGACAGAAATTAAAAGAAGCTGCAAGAGCTGTTACTTATGTCTTTTCTTGGCTAAAGAAGCAAAGGCCTGAGGGCTTGTAAGTTGTGGTCCACAGTTCTGTCTCTTTTCTGTGTGTGGTCTTGTCTTTGTCTCCAGCAGAATTTGTAAAAACTGTTCCTCACTGTGAGTCTGGGGTTCACTTTCAGTTCAGGTGGCAGAAGGCTCTGTGGAGATTACCCTTTATGATGCCCACAGGAAGATGCTTGTTTGCATGCATCAAATGTATCATATGTGGCAATGTAAGTTTTTTATGGTTAAAAAGTAAATAACACTCAAATAATGCAACCTCTAGGCAACTGTGAGAAAGCAAATTTCTGTGCATGATGCAGCATGTTACCACACCTGGATATGTACTTGGATTCCGGACACAGTCACATCAGGGTGCCAGTGCACTAGTGTGTATTTTAGTAGGTAGAGGCGTGTGTCTACTCCCTCCAAAACTCGCTCATTTTCTGCCTTATCCTTGGTGAACTCAGGCATCTCTGCAGGGTGCTGTGTTGCAGACACCACAGTGGTTATTTCACAAGAAACAGCAGCATTTCTAAAGCAGTGGAGCTGGTTTGATTTTGGTCATAAGATGTGCAGACTGGGAAATTTTGGATCCATTAAGCACTATTGCACAAGAACAGAGACACTGCCAAATTGGGCAAACATAATTGTACATCACTGCTCAGCTTATTAGCTATGTTGTTTGCCTGATTTTGTCTGCACAGGCTGCAGCAGTTTGGGAAGCAACATCTGCGTGAGCAAGGTCAGACTCAAATGACTTGTAGGGCAGAATTCTCTTGAGATTAGAAAGGCAGTAGGGAGCACTAGGTAGCCAAAATAAGCACTTAGAAAATACAGTACTGCTCATAGAACAGAGTTGTTTTGTTAAGGTGCTGTTGTAAACAGAAGCAATTTTGGTTTTCTCAAAACCAAAAAACCTGGAACCTCAGCGTGGGCTGTTTACCTTTTCAGAAAGGAAGGTGGAGTGCACTCACCAGGGGTGGAGAGGCTGTACGTGCACAGTAGCACGTGGAGCAGAATGCATCACAAATTCATACCTAGCCTATGGGGCCTGACTCGCCTCCCACGTGCAAAATCCCCCTGCTCAGAAACGTGGTTTCATCGAAACCATGATTTTTAACACGTAATGGTAAGCAGGGAATTTGAAAATCAAATGTTTTATTTTGTAAAAGTACTTTGAAACAAAATGTAATTGTACTACTTTAATTTGAAGTACTGTTTTCTTTAACTTTTTCACTTGAAAGTTTTGAATGAGACTTTTGGACTCTTAGTATAATTTTCGTTTTTTATGGCCACCCTCACCTCACACCCAAAAAACCTAAATTGCTTACAGCAAAATAGCCTTTCAGATGAACTTGTGGGACCTCATGCTGCTACATGGTGACTATGGATAGGAATTATTGTGGTGATTATTAACCTGGCCTAGGTCCAGTACTGCCTGAAGTTTTTAGTCAAATTGCTTTTTATCTTCATTCTGCACCCAGCTGATCTCTGGTGTTCGAAATGCAAACAGGGCCATAACAGAGACCTCGGGTAGTGCTGAGGTCTCCAGGTATTTCAGGAGGAATGCAGCACTAAAAGGTTTGATTCTGATCCCAACTGACTGGGACGAGGGTTTGAAAATTTAGAGCAAGAGGGATCTTCAGAAGCCTAAAAACTCATTTGAGTCTGAGCTGCCTTTACATGGTGGCATTTTAGCCTTCAGTCCTACCTGTACACTAGAGATGCACACAGTTCTGTGGATTGAACACATTCAAGGTTGTTTTAAAGAGGCATCTGAATTTTTTTATGATAATCTAAAATGTTGCTAGTTTTCCAGCCAAACTAGAAGCTCTGAATTGGTGCTGATCTGTTATACTCATTGCAAAATCCTTGGGTTTGAGACTGTTCATTGGAAAGCAGCATTTTCAAGGAGGTAAGAGTTATTTCTGCAAAATCCCATTATAAATAACAGTGCAGTGCTTCTGTTGCTTGCTGGGCTGCAGACACTGGCAATGATCGGTGCTGTTTGTTACTACAGGGATTTCAAGTTTGTGTTTTCCTCTGTGCTCTCACTACGGTGTTCCTAGGCTAAGCCTCTGCCTTCTGTTGGTCAGGCCTTGGTAAGGACAAATCTGGCAGAGCTGATACATGCTGCAGGAGGAGAGAGCTATTTTTTACCTGTCAGGTGTTTGTACTTCGATGAATATAAAGATACGCTCTGTGTAATACTGTGCCTGAGATCCCTTGTGACAAAGCATGGATTGTAAATTCTTAGAATGGTTTTTCCTTTCAGGTAGCATCTTTTACCTTTAGGTCATATTTCCTGCTGTTCACAGCTGCCTAAGTTTCTGTTCCAAAGTGTTCTCTTACATCCAGTAGTGCCAATGGCATTTTAATTCAGAGCACTTGAAATACAGTGCCAAATACCATCCTGATTTCCCTATTCGAAATAAATTGGGTTACAGAGCAAGATTCAAGAGGAAATTAGGTCTGTAAGCTCACTAGCTCTGGTTCAAACTTGTGACGTGCAAGTTGATTGACCTGAACAACTGACTTTAACCTTCACATCAGTAGCAGCTGTCTTTGGCTGAAAAATTTTTAGACGTTTAAAAAAGAGGATTGAAATTTTCAGAAGAGACTGGCCTTTTAATGGTGTCTCCATTGCTGTCACCATTAAACAAGCATAGTGTTTAAGCTAAGGAATTATAAGGTGGTTACTGCTTTTAAGAATTTTAAGTTTCAGGTTTTTATTAGAGAACTTTTTTTTTGTGCTGGGATGTAGAGAATAATAAAGTACCTGTATATTTAAGGTGATAAGGAGAAAGCCAGGACTAGGCACTGCTCTATGGATCTTTCTGACTTGTCTGGACCAGAGAAATCAGAAATACATTGCAAGATTTTGACCAACAGAATTCCCTTCCTAACAGTTCTTAAAAATTCAAGGAGAGTTTGAAATGAATGTTCAGCTGCACTTTTTTGGAACCATTTCCTTCTGGAATTTCTTCATCATTAGTTTGCACTATCATTCTTCCTTAAATGTGCTTTGGTATCTGTTTTTCCACAAAAGGTTTAATTGTCTCCAAAAATAAGCAAATCTCCAGAGCAACAGCAGCATTGACAGGAACAAGCAAATGATACTTGGGATTGTGGCAGGACAATAGTCTCCTGAGTCAGAGGTTTTTATCAGATGATTTAAGCAGCTTCGGGGGTTTCAGTCATTCCTTCAGCTGATGTGTCATCTTACATTTTAATGTAAAGACAGAAATTTTGTGGGGAAGCATGTCCCAGGTCAGAATGACTGAAAATGGAAGTACATCATTAAAGAGGAGGCAGCTGAATTGGACTAATTTAGCTTTTTCAAGAAAAAACTTTCCTCTGCTCAACTGAGCATCCTGCAATGTATTTATACTGCACTCACTGCCTCCAAGTTTGAAATAGGCAAAGGCACATCTGCTGCTACACTGATACCAATGCCAGTGGGCAGGCTTTAAGGGCTGGCAGGCCTCTCTAAATGAAGACTTTTATGTCAACCAGTAAAGTTTACAGGAGGATTTCCATGGAGAACTGAATACAGTTCTGGACATTGGGTTTTTGGTAAGGCGCAACACACTGGATGACACCTCTTCTAACACTAAGCCTTAGTGTTATCATCTGTTGTTCAGCATTTGGCTGTGGAAAGAGGGCTTTGTAGTCCTAAAGGAAGGTCATGTCTACTTAGCAGCATTTACATTAATAGCTCTGCTTCTTGTTTTTCCTGTCCCTCAGGGTACCCAGGAACTGGTTAAACAGGTGAAGAATTTGCCCCAAGCCAACTACAACCTCCTCAAATACATATGCAAGTAAGTGAAATTAATTAACGCTTGGAAAAGTCTCTAAGTTTTGTGAGGCTGTCTTATATGCAAATAATATACTCTGAAAGTATGAATATTCAAAAACCACTTAAGTGTAAGTTACAACTCCTTTAAAAAATGTGGAGGTGAATGCAGCCTGCCTGAAGGAAGTGCTTGGCTTATCCAAGAGGATCAGCCAAGCAAATTGCTGCCACCTGCAGCCTTGGCAGCAAGCATGAATGATACTAATATGTTATATTATTTATTTCAGAAGCACATACAGGTCACTAAAGGTAGACACTTATTCCAGATACTGTACACTTGGAAGATTTATGACACAAGCTGAGTAGCAGATGCAGTCAGAATAGCCAGTCTGGCATGAGCTCTGGTTTGGAAGTGAGGTTTAGTAGTAGCTTCCTCCTGGATTACCAGCGACCCCACAGTTTATCTCCCTTCATCTCTGCTGATTTTCCCTGTTTTTGGGCTGCCTCTTTATCTGTGGATTGGAAGGAGATGATTTTTGAAGGCTTCTTCCATCTCCAACCATTCTGTGATTCTATGATCTGTATTTTGTTAGATTCAAGTCAAGCTACAAAGCTCTTTCCACAGGCTGCTAGTTCTCAGACAAGGAGATGACTTATTACTTCTGTTATATCTATAAGTGAAAATTTGCCAAAGTCAATCCATGTAAATTGAGAATTCCTATAAAAATGCAAAAATCTGCCCTTTCAGACCTAGTAGTAGATTGGGTCGCTGCTAGGTGAGTACTTCTGGCAGAAAACATCCTGTCTTCTCTGGTTCATACACTAGGAGGTATCTGGGGTTACACTGAATAGCTAAGCTACAGTAGTTCCTCAAATCATTTCAGGTGTCAGGGTTGTATGCAAAAAGGACAAAACTGAATGCTTTTAGTCTGAGAAGTGACTTACTTATTAATTCCCTCCTCCTTTGATTTTTATGGGGGGGCTTTTCAAGGTTTCTTGATGAAGTTCAGGCTCATTCCAGCATTAACAAGATGAGTGTCCAGAACCTGGCTACAGTATTTGGACCAAACATACTGCGGCCCAAAATGGAGGATCCGGTGACCATGATGGAAGGTAGGTGCTGTTCAGGGGGTGGCACAGCAGCTGTGTTTTGGAGATGTAAGTGAAGCCATACATTCCTTGGTAGCTGTATCAGTTGCCTGCACAGTCAGAACAAGTCAAGCCATCCCTTTCATCAGGGCCTGTGAGGGGTATTCCAGTTGGCATCTTATCCCACTCACCACTGGACTGGGAGTGTCTTTCCTCTCCACCACATGATGCCTCTATGCCCTTGAAATTCTTTTTGAACCTATTGTTAAAATGAAAGCTGAGCTGCTTTTTCAGAAGGACTGTGCTTAAGTACCAAGCTGCAATCATTTAGCATTGGTGCACTTCAGTGGTTATACTGCTCCCTGAAGAGAACATCTGAGCCATGAGGAGAGGACTAGTTCTGGCTGTGCCACAGTGGCTGTAACTAGAAGTGTCTTAGAAATGTTGTCTTCTAAAGAGACTGTATGGATCAAAATTTCACAGAATCAAAATGTTGAAAATCAGTTAATTTTGGACATAAAAAATCTGAAGCTTTAAAATTATTTGCTTCCATATGAATCAAGCAAACTGACATTAGGACTGGGATACAGCTCTTCTCCCAGGTTGCACTGAAACACTGCTACTGCGGTACAAGTTTTAGCAAAGTTTTTGCATAAAGTTTTGTACGAATTTGGCAAGGCTGCAAAAAGAATTGATTAATTAATTAGGCACAGATGGAGATACTGTGCCCAGGATGCCTGAACTTGGCTCCGTTTCTGCTCCCTAACCGTAGGGAGCAGCTGAGGTGGTATTTTGTGTGATGAAAATCCTTCACACGTCAGTGTTGTCATGCCTTAGCAGCTGCAGTGCCTTTAGTTCTTCACAGGTCATGTGCAGATGTGTCTCCCATGATGGCAACTCACCGTAAGGCAGCAGGACAACTTCGGAGCATGACCTGACATATTATAGTAGTTTAGGGACTCGAAGCCTACCACAGAGATGTGGGCCATATTATTAAGGGTAAATTCGATACCTTCCCCTGGCTGTGCAGAAGGTACAAAAATCAGGGAGGAGAAGGGAGTGCGGGAGCAGGGCTTGTTATTCACTGCTGAAGGTGGGGACAGCTGTAAGCAGCCTGTGTGCGATGCTGGGACTTCCCCTAGTGGCCACCGGGCCAGCGCTGGGGCAGCTCTCACAGCCCGGGCCAGCAGCAGTGTGCTCCCTGCTCAGCTGGCACGGGGGACACGCTTGGGTTCAGATCAGCTCAGGCATTTCGTTCTGCAGCTCATCCCATGGCAGAGGTGCCCGTACTGTGTGTAGGTGCACACGTGCAGGTGCTGGTCTCTCCTAATCATCGTATAAAAACACTACAGTGATCTGACCCAGAGTTCTATATTGCCACAGGTCTGAACTGTTAAAAAATCAGGGTATGTAGGCTGGATTTTTAGAATTCATCATTATGACAGGATTGGCAATATTTTATTTTAGTTGAGAATTTAGTTGAGGTTGGTTAGATAAAAGTAACAGAGAAGTGGAAAGATTTTTTTTTTTTTTTAGCTTCAGGGTAGTTTGGATCTCCTAAATAAAGTGATAATGAGATCTTAACAAAAAGCACTCTAATTGTGTCTCTCTTCAAATTTAACCCATGCATTTCAAATAGAAATTCCTGAAGTTTGACAGCTAAATTTTTAAGAATGCCCTTATCTTCAAGACATTTAGTTCTCTTCCTGCATTCACAGACATAAAATAGAAGTGGTAGGTGAGCTCAGTACATCTTGCTATTAGGTCAAAAACTCACCAATAAAATCAGGCTCTTGCCTTGAACCCTGAGTATGTTTGCCTTATTCTCTTTCAGGTAGTACTTGAAAATAGAATTGCTTACTCACCCTTCTAAAGGTTTTCCTCTTTTGTAGGAAATACTTTGTATTAGGTTTGGTAAGTGGTGCTCTCTGTTAGTTTATAGTGGTCTGCTCCACTCCTGGAAAACAGTGGCAGCACATTTCTGTGGATTTAAATAACTGCGAGCACTTTCTGCACTTGCTGTACACTCTCTGCAAGTGCATGTATAATGCAGATGTCATACTTCCTGCAAGTTTCTGTATACACTGAGTGCAGCAGAAGGCCTTAGCTGAAATTCGTAATTTTTCAATAAGGATAGTTCTGGGCCTGCTCAGACCAAGAAACTGCGTGCAGACTAGTCATGCAAAGAGGCTGGGTGAGTCCCAGAGGTCTTTCATGTCTCCTCCCCTGCTCACCTTTGTTTTCCATCCACAGGCACCTCTCTGGTTCAGCACCTGATGACAGTACTGATAAGTGAGCAGGGGCGGATCTTTGCTGTTCCTCAGGCAGATGTGCCAGGGAGCCAGCTGGAAATCAGACCAATGCGCCAGCGCAGCACTGTGGAGTGGATCTCCGAGGAGGACGGGGAGGACAGCAGGTCACAGAACAGCGCTGCCAGCCCCGCTGATTTGCCTTCTGGCAATGCTGTGGCTCTAGAGGCCACGCCAGGACCTACAGTGAAAATCACTCCTCCAGAGCAGAGTGGCAAATCGACTCAGCCTGCCACCAGCCCCAGTAAAAGAGTGCAGACGCTGCCTCCATGGAAATACTCCTTCCGCCAGCAGGGAGCACGGTCTGTGAGTCCAAAGCTGGGCAGCTCATCCTTAGATATCCCCAACCTCTCCTCCAGCGGGAACTGGTTGATGAACGGCCTGTACTCCCTCCGAGGCCATCGCCGGACAGCCTCTGGGGAACGAGTGAAAGACTCGTGCTCCTCCCAGAGACTCTCCACTTATGACAATGTCCCTTCCTCCAGCCTGTCCCTCAGCACACACAGCATGGCCAGCACCACCTGGTCTACATCGTCCTGTGAGATCTCCGTGATGGACTCGGTGAGCAGCTGCCCAGCCTGCCGGGCCAGTGACTCTTCTGCTTTGAGCTCCCTAAAAACCGAGTGGGTAACTCAGGGCTCGCTGTCTCAGAGCGAGGTCAAGACAGCAGATCTGGAGAACAGCATGGACAGGTTTGAAGGCTGCAGCAGCAGCAGCGAACAGAGTGACCCGGCTGCAGCTTCCCGAGACTCTGTCCAATGCTCCAGGGCCTTACAGAGCTTGGTGGTGGAGCTAAAGACAGAGCTGAGCAAACAGAGGACTGAGTATGAGACTAGTATCAAAAGGTAATGTCATCTGCAGGGGGCACACAAGGAAGTCATCTGTCAACATTCTCCCCTGTCTGAACATGGGTGTGGGCTACCAAGGGTACCAGGTTCTCAGCCCTGAAATTTGGGGTTGGGTGACAGCAGATTTGATTCTACTTTTCCCTTGCTACTCTCTGAATCCAACTTTTCTTTCTCTGATTTAAGAGAGCATCAAAAAGAAAACAAAGGGGTATTTCTGTGACACAGGGAAATCCAATACTTCATATTCTGTGTGTTCACTGTAATGCGAACTACACAGGTAATGCCAAAGTCTGCTCTTAATTGTCTTCAGAGAAATAGCAAAGCAAACATTTTGTAGGGAGGAACTGGGACCCCAGATAGTCAGGCCTCAACAAGGATAATCTGTGCAGGTGCTGATACTTGCACCAGACCAGTCTGAGACTGAGGGCTTCTTGTTCATTTCCCAACACCAGCATTCTTGAGGAAACTGCTCTTGATTATTTTCCACAATTTTTTTTTTTTTTTTTTTTTGAGTGGTGATATTGGGTCTGCATCTCAGCTGTAATGTTTTCAGCAGCCCTTTTGTGCTGGATTTCTAGAAACCTCACTTCTGGTATCTGATGTAGAAGAGTGGTCGTTGGCTGATGGGGCAGCCTAGCTGGGAGGAGCAGTGTGAACTGTGTCCTTTGCCAGCTGGTGTTTCCTTGCACAAGCTGGCGCTCTACTTTCCATCTGGGCTTAGAAAAATTCCTTTCAGATTTCAGGAGAGCTGTGTGTAGGGCTGCAGTTGTAGGAAGTATTATTAACAAGTGAGTCATTAATTTGTGTGAGTATATTAGGTTTTATGAGTGTATGTGATAATAGACTTTTAGGAAAGCATTCAGGGGAAATAGGCACATGAAATATTGATAATTAAAGGAATTAGATATATTTTAATATACAGCCATGTGCAAAATTGCACACCATATTATAACACACGCTGCTCTGCAGCATCAGTACCCTGCACTGAAGAAGGGCTGTAGTCCCATTTCTTACAAAGAGTCGAGTTCTCAGAGTTTGGTTGGTTTTTTTTTTTTTCCTGTTAAGGTGTTACTGTTACACTCCTTCAATTATTAAAACTCAGATTGGAAATTGAAGTATGAAAATGCTGCCAGTCTCCCAAACATGGTATCAAAAGCACATGAGACAGATGGGATTGTATAGCACAGCTTTGGGCTGAGTTTTTTGGTACTTTTTTCTCATTAAGGTAGTTTCTCAAAAATGTATGTGAACTGTGACTTCTTCCCATGGGCCAGTTGTTAAGGTAGGAATTCCTCTTGCTATCTTCCTGCTTTATATTATGATTTCCTCTGGTGGTGGCTTGCCAGCCTCTTCTGTGTTTCTGCCTCTTGCACTGTCCTGCCTTGGTGTGTGGAGCTGGAAGGAGAATCAGGCTGTGCAGCAGTTTTCAGTTCCCACCTAACACCCCTGAGTGGGAGAAAAGCCCCACCTTGTTGCGTTCAAGGTGTAGGAGCTCAAGGTGTAGGAACTTATGAAACAGAAACAGTTGCTAGCATGGAGTGTTGGCAAGGGTCTGTGAATGAGGGTGGAAGTTCATGACTCACATGGTTTGTTTTTTTTAATGCCCTACTGATACAGAATGGGAGGGAGGTGAGGGTATGTGCCTTACATTTAATTGTGCAGAGCTGCCCTGGCTAGCCTTGTTGCAGGGATACAGATTAATAAACAGAAATACCAGGCTGCAGAACCTGGAAATGTGTAGCTGCACATTCTTGCCTGCTGTCTGGGGGAAGAGATGGTTTTCCACCTTTTATCAATGAAACTGTTCCAATGGGGCTTTAAGCTGCTGACCTGGAGCATCCAAGAAGATCTGTTCTCCATTCCACCTGTTGAGCTGCTTCAGCTCTCAGCCTTTCCCCTGCAGCTGGACAGAACAGACAGCACTGTGGCTCGAGGGGCGGACTCTAAATTGGCCGGGTCTCACAGGGCAAAGTAGCTGAGAGGAAAATGCCTAATGAATTAAAGAGTTTCATAAAACCAGGCAAGGTGCAATCACTGCCTCTTTGTATTAAATAGGATGACTCCAGCTGTTTGGGCTTACAGCCTGAAGGACTGTGCTGTCAAGTCTAAGAATTTCAAGCCAAGTTTTTCAGCTCTCAAAAATTTTGCAATGTTTTTACTACATTTGCAGCAATCTATAGGTGCAAAAGTATGTTCCTTTTCAGACTGCATGGAAGTCTGCTACTATGGAAAGACAGGAGCTAACTAGCAAAGAAGGGAGGCTGCTTAGCATAAAAGACTTAGGCTGCCTCACCAGCTTTATTTTATTGAAGATAATTTAGTCCCCTGAAATTGTACATGTGCGTGTGTGGTTTGCAGAACTGTGTGCATCTAGCAGGACATGTTTTAATGAAAGAATATGAGCTTTTTTCTTGGCATAAGTGCAAGGAAAGCAGAGTAAGTACCTGCCCGAGGCAGAGGTAAGGAACACTTGCTGATGGAAAAGCTGTTATTTCTCATCAACTGCCCATTTTCTCTCTCTTAGTCAGAGGGAGGCAAGTTTTATGGCTTTCCTGTTCCACTCTGTTCCTGAGCATTTTTCCCTCTATGTTAAGATAATTACCAGACATGCTCTGTTGAGTTTCAGTAATCCATGTTTACCACCTGGCACTCTTAAGAAAGATTAAGTATTTGGAGAGGACTGTTGTGAATGTGGAAATGCTGTCAGTACTGTGACCCTGTGTAATTCAGTCCTGAATTAGCAGTTCAGGCTGCTGTAGTTGACCCCTAAGCTTAGTGGTAGAAAATGTAGTTGGCAGCTCAGAGCTGTTACGTGTGTGTGGGGAAGCATCCCAGTTTCAGAAGTGTCATATTCCAGCTGCCACTGGCTGGAGATAAAGGTCTGCCTTCATCCACAGAGGCTGCTTTTTGCTGGACTTGGTGCAGGTCAGGGCCCCTGTGACTTTGATTCACGGTGAAAACTGTGACAATAATCAAACGGCCATCTTTAGCTGTATGTAAAGGAACAGAAAGGAAAAGTTTAAGGTGATGAATTGCCCTTTGGTCATGAAGTGGAATTCAGACCTTTCTGGGACTGCCCAAGGCCCTATTTTTCTTCATTTGTGTTTTGTTATGAGGCAGTAGCATGGCCTTCTTGATAGTCAGTTACCCTGACTAAAAATAACTTGTTCACAGTTCCACTGGGATGCCACACCCCAGCTTCAATGTTGAGTATTGGACTGATCAAGAAGAGGTGGGGGTGGTTTTGTGCTGGAAATTATTTTTAAAGGTTGTATTTATTTTATTTAAAGGAGGGCATCTTTCATTGTAAAAGTCTAATTTTTAAATACACATTCTAGTAATCAGTAATTCCGATCTCAAAATATTCCTTACTCAGTATTAATGCCACTACTTGGTCTTGTGATTGGGAAACACAAGTGGGAGAACAGCAATTACAGTGCCTTCTGTGTTTCTTTGAAATCACAAAACCATGAACTTTGTTCTTTGACCTCCTTAGTGAAAGCTCTGAATTTTGCCAGAGCTTTGTGCCCAGATGCATTTAGGAAATGTTCTTCTGATTCTTCCTCATATGAAAGACTGGGTTTCATTAAATCTCACACCCAGTGAAGGACATAAAAAAAAAGCTAATATTCTTTCATTAAGATCACCTTACAGAAAATACCATCAAATGGATGGTGAGCAAGGACTGTGACTTCATTCCTGTCTGATCCCTAAGGATGTTCCTCTGTACTGGATATCCATATAGGGAAACAGTATCAGGATGAAAACAGGTTAAAAGATTATTTTGGAATTATATACTTGAACTCTACCTAAATGAGGAGTTAATTAATCTACTTAGCCAGGCAGTCTGGTGCTGGAAAGTAAGCATTGTTTTCTAAGATTTCAGCATTTTTTTCAAGATGCAAATGAAGGAAGCTCTGCCCTAAATTCAACAATAATGAAATGGCATTTAGTTATCTCCTTTAAAACTTCCTCTTAGAATATGTTAAATTTAAGTTAGTCCTCTTAGAGTTTTTATAGTTATCAGCTGTATTTATCCAGCCACTTTAAAAAACCTTTTTTTTTTTTCTCCTCTCTGTTGGTTTTAAGAATTGAAGAAACAAGTGCAGACCTGAGGAACCAAGTGGTTAGGTTAGAAGAAGAACTGGACCAAGAACGAAAAAAATACAGGATGCTGGAGATAAAGCTGAGGAATTCTGAACGCGCTCGTGAAGATGCTGAGAAGAGAAATTACCTCCTGCAGAAGGAAATGGAAGAGTTTTTTTCAACATTAGGATGTTTAACTGTTGGGAGTCAAAGTGCTAAAGTCTCCAAGTAGAACAAGTATAGAAAATCCCATTCCTGACAAAATGAGTGAAAATGCATATTTTGTTCTGGTATACTCATGTATCATGAGTAATTCTATAGTGATTGTGCTCTCAGTGACACTTGCCCTGTTGTCTTTACATGTGCTATAGTATTTGGGCCAGCTGGGAAAGACTGCTGACCATAAAGCTTGAAAATTTAGTGTCAGATTGCCAAGAAAGAGTGGGGCCCCTCTGTATCCACAGAACATACTTTTCTCCAGAGTGTCCTGCTGCCATCTTTGGACTGAGCTGCACCATCCTTTTGCTGGCTCAAGGACAGTGGAAGGTCCTGCAGGGTGGGTGGATGCCCAGAACCAACAAACAGCTGAGCCTGGAGCTGAGGGATTCCTACACTTGTGCTTGGGAAGATGGCAGTTCAAGCCTGTCACCACAGCCAGGACATTTGCCAGATGGATTTAACGAGGTGGTTTTTGCCCCACTCCCTCCATAAAGTTTGTTCAAATATCTCATTCCTAGAGTGGTATTATTTTATGACGATATTGTGAAAACAAGGTCTGCAAACATGCTGAAGATACCAAAATCTTGACAATTCACTAAAATTGTCCTTTACCCACCCAATGGTTTCAGTGTTTCACAAAAATGCAACTTTAAATTAAACTGTGATTAATAATCAGATTGGCTACACAAACTCTGTGGAACTTTAAATATGCACATTTTGCCTTAGGTATCTGAACATTTTCTGAGCCAAAAAATAGAGCAGTATTAGCTGCAAGAAAAAAAAATCTCCTGAGCTGATACATGTATTAAGGCAGAAGACGGAAGATTCTTATCATCAAAACACATCCAAACATTAATAACAAAACTTATGGTAAGAGGAATTAGTGCAATTGGGGTGGGGGTTGTCAGGGTGGGTAAAGGGAGGAGGGTGAGGATCTATCTTTAACCTTTCCTGGACAGTGTACACTTACCTCCCTTGTAACATTTCTCATGACACCAGCTGATTTTTTGTTGTTAGTTCTTACAGGGAGATGAGGGGACAGGAAGAATACTGCAAACAACCTATCATCCCAAGTTCCTTAATTCTGCCAAGAAAAAAGCCTTAGAATGAAGCTGTAAGTTCTGGTAATTTGCTACCAGGGCTGACTTCCCTTCCATGTCTTTCAAGAAGTTCTGCATAGCATTTTTAACACCCTGAGCCATGCAGAGCCTGCACACAGAAAACTGTTTGACCAGATTCAGCCTGAATTTCACCTGCGAGCCCAGCAGCAGGTAACTCACATGGATCAGTTCATTCAGTTTTTTCAAAACCTTTTTCCTACTTCCCAGGCTCTCCAGCTGCCCTGGATTCCTTACTGTGCTGGCATGAGGCAGGTACCTGCATGTTCAGCAGCAGCTGCCTGCCACCTGCAGGCATGATCATCATCCCCATCTTTTTTTCCCACCTCTGCCTTGAATTCATTATCAGAGGTCACAAGTGATTCTTTAAGGAATAAGATGGCCATTTAAAACAGCAGCATCAGATGCATAATGTGAGAGAGAAGCAATACAGTGACTGAGCTGGAAGAGCAGGCAGTGTGGCAGGTAGCTGGAGGTATGAGGTCAGTCATCACAAAATAAACCTTAATACTGGAGGGTGGTCTAATGGTTGTAAGTAGAACACCAGGACTGATAGAATGCAACATTCAACCCAAGTACTAGTAGCAGGCAGGGTATTTTAATGCCTTCTTTTATTTCTACCCAAAACATAGAAGCCTTTCACTGTATCCATCCTGACAGTCCACACCTCCCTTTTACTAGTTATATTGCATTATCTCCTGTATGTATTGAGTGCAGACTGCTCCCTTTAGTTCACACTACAAACTCAAGATTGAGTTAACCAGCAGTCATGTTCACTGCTTGTCTGGTGTATCTGGTGTTCAGTCTCCCAGTCAGCAGGGCTCAGTTCTTAGGGATTTAACCTTAGGTAACTGTTAACAAACCCACCTGTCCCAAACTTGCAGCTCTAGGATAGGATCATAAGATCTATAACATGTGGCATCCAAAATATTTTTTTTTAAATATACAAAGAAACTCTATCCACTCAAAATGAGGAGTGAAACAAACCAGTTCCAGACTGGCTGTTGTACTCCAGCAACATCTATGTTCACAAGGAATAAATTTCAGCTGCTTTTGAAGATGAGCCACTGCAGTAAATAAACCTGGCAAGAAGCTGCAAAGGACCCAGTTCACATTAAAATGCACCACAGTGGGATGTTAACCTCAACTGCAGTAACAGGACTATGTTAAATTCCTGATATGGGCAATTATGCAAGAAATTAGATCCACTTGTACACAGCTTCAAAGAACACTATGCTTTTATCAAAGGAAGATGATACACACTATGCTAGCTTTAACTCCTGTTTCCATACTCTTTACCACCAATGCATGTCCCCACAGTAAGCACTGGAGACTACTCCTTATTTCACAGACCTTTCACTTGTTACAGTCCTTGATTTAAATGTCAGCTTTCTTAGCAAGTGTTTACCAGATACAGGTTTGGTTATTATTAATTAAATGTGACAGAAGGTTCCTGGAATAGATAAATTTTTACCACAGCTTCACCTGCCCCATCTTCTCAGCCTGGAATATCCCTTACAGTACTATGCAGGCAAAAAAAACCCAAAAACCCAGTGAAAAATTTTTCAGTGAAAAAAAAACAAACCCAAGACAAGCATATGCTTTTAAAAAAAGCAAAACAGCAACACCGAAGAATAAGGAAGAAAACTTCAACAGCTTGTGGCATTTCTAATGCAAAAAGGACAATTAATTAATAGCTTAATGACTCATCTACATTCACAAGGGAGTTCCACTGAAACCAGCAACATTATGGAGTGTTTCAGTCATGAGACACCAGACAAATCCTGGGCAGAGCTACAACTCTCTCGGCCTTGCTCTGTAATAACATTATCACTGGAAACTGACTGCACTTTATGCTGACATGCAAATAAAGAGGAGCATTTCTGAGTCCCACACTATTCCTAGGAGAGCATCCCAATAATTGGACGTCCAGATAAACAAAGCTGCCTGCACTGTGGTTAAGTCCCTTTCACTTGAAACTGGACACAAAGGCACCACCAGCACAGCTCAAGGGCAGCTGCAGTCGATAAGGAAGCACTGAAACCCTGCTGGAAGTGACTTATGTTGGGACTTGCCTGTGGGAGAAGTGACAGTTCAGTTGGTGGTCCAGGCATCCAGGTCAGCTCTCCAGAAGTCAGATCCCTCAGGCTTCTCCAGGATGCAGTGTTAAGAGAGTCTCCCTTACACTAGGCAGCCCAAGGCTTACCTCTTTCGGCAGCACAAGCTCTCAGCAGCTGTATTCTCAGGAATTAAGGGGGCTGGAGCTGGAAGCAAGAATGGATTCCACTGGTCACAAAGACCATGAATGCTGTTAACAGTCTGTGGCACATCCAAAGTCCATGTGAATGGAGAAATGGAAAAAACATGTCACTCTGCCCACAAGTGAGCTCACACACAAGACAGGACACTACCATTAAAGAACTGATGAATTCTCAGGAACAACTCTCACTAGTAAGATTCCAAGTGCAGCCCTATTATTCATACGAAACCCATAGCAGCCTGGCAATGAAGAAACATTAAATACATGGTGGTCAAACTTTTTTTTTTTTCTTTTTTATTTAAAATATCATTATAACCAACTGACATACTAGATAACAATGTATACATTCCAGTGGTGCACATGTAATGACCTATGGCATGAATGAGTTAAAAAAAAACCCACAATGTTCTCAGTAATGCCTACCAACAGCTTATTTGGAAGGAATAAATAAAAAGCAGGAAAAGGTATCAAATGTGGGGAAGAAAAAAAAAAATTAGCTTTCCCTAGTAGTTTTAATGGTGTATCTTCCCCTTCGTATTTCTTGGGACATAATAAAATCAAGAATATACTTCAAGAAGGGCAGAAGGAATGATCACAATAATTGGGGTGGGATTTTTTTTCTCAACTTTAGTAATAAAAGTTCAAGAACTCTCAAAAATAGACTAGATATTGGGCCTACAAAAGTAATTCATCTGTATGCAAAGCTTACCAAGAATTATTCCTTTTGTAAAATGTAAAGGATGAGCTGACATTACTAGTAAGCTATTTTTATCCTACAAAACCAGACTACAATAATAAAATCACCAATCTGCAGCTAACACAATAATCTAGATGTACATTACTGTACACAGGCTATATATATATTACACATGAACATCTTACGTGAAATAGATAAGAAACATATTGATATTGTCTCAACATTGGCCAGTAGGTTTGTTTTTCTAAAGGAGGTGTATTTTTTCTTCACATTCAGTGTAGTTCCAATAGCGAGGGTTAGCTTTGCTTACTTAAGAAACGTAGAAAGTTTGTGTGAGGTAGTTCAAGAAAACCTAGCTTAAGTTTTGAACTGCTAAAATAGAAACACAATGTGATCTGATTCATAACACAGTTCTGTAACACAGACATACAAAGAGAAGGGAGTGAGAGAGACCACATAAAATACGACTTTAATCCAGTGCTCTTAACAAAGAATAAATTAAATTAATTGAAAATTTGGGTAGGCAGTAAAGTCTTATCACACTGCTTCAATAAAACTCTCTTTCTAATTCTGCTGAAAAATGCAGACAGGCTCTCCTTCAACTGCTCCAAACCACTGACAGGAAAATGTAACGGTATGGGCAAGCTGCTGCCAAAAGCAAATAAAAATAGATCTAGAAATTGTAATTCACTCGCTTTAGCAACTTGTAAAGTAAGACCAAGTATAAGTTAACCTCCTCCCCTTTTGCCCATTATCTTTATCAAGAAACCTTTACTGTCATATACTTCAGATTATTGGCTGGGTAGGACCATCCTCCTGTAGGAGGTTTTTGACGTTTTCCTTCATGCACTGCTGAGCTGAATGCTCCATCCATCCATCCCAGAGCCCCAAGCCCAGGAACTCAGTGCTGGCCCCACCAAGCCTGGACAGCAGAGCCCTACTGGAACAGTTCATGCCAGGGACACAGGACACTCCCACACCACACCACTGGTATGGATGCTGTGTTGAGCTGGAATTCCTGCCCAGAAAGATGCTGCTGCATCTCACATAGTAAAAGTTCTTCAGAGCTAAAAGCCCAAGCAAAGTGCCACATCTGCTCAGCTGAGCAAGTTCAACCAGGGAGTTGTGCTTGGGCAGCACAGCTGCTCGCACACACCATCACATCAGCTCTGACCCACTGTCCTGCACCAACCAAAAGCTTCCCAGCAAAGCGTCCCAGTACTCTCTAAGGGTACTAATTCCACTCCATCTCTATTTCAAGTTCTTAAACAACCTACTTCTACAGGAGAGAGCTGCTTTACTCCAGCTGCATGCCACAGCTTTGCCCAGAGAAGGCAGAAATCAATCTCGCTATTACTGCCCAACTTTGAACCTCACCTGAGGTAAGAGATCAGACAGCTCATGGTAATTCAATCCATATCAACTCCCAGTGGATTGGAATGGCCTTAAAAAGTTGCATACACTTTAGTGAAGCCTGCTGTCTTGAGAAGATTCCAAATCAAAGTTTGAAATAAAACTTAACAATACTTTAAAATTGTACAGTGTATTGGATAGCATATAAGCCAAAAATAGACAAAGACAGCTGAATTCCACTTACCCATTTGTTTGCTATCTGTGGCAGTGTACATCTATCTGAAAAAAGTTTATACTTCAACAAATAAAAAGTGAAGACTAGGATGCTGTTGTGATAATTTGATTACTGAATATGATTTTGTCTTTGAAATTTGCCATCACTAAGAAAAAGAAAAAGCAACACTCCTGTGAAGACGGTGCCTAAAGTGAACTCTTTGTTTGCACAGACAAAGGTCTGAGCCTACTGAAACAATCCCTTTGAGCACAGCTTGCTCACACACTGCAACAGGCTGCAGTGGGCAGTTCCACACATTCACTAACATTGCCTTGAAAGAAGAAAATCTCAATTCTCCTTAGCACTTATGAGCTCAGGTCAGTTACTATATATTTCGGACACTGAAAAGTGATAGCAAAAAATATTTTTAAGTTTCAAAATATTTCAATCATCACTGCAACCCAGTGGGGTCTAAAATAAATTTATATAGGAACTATATTTACCAATTTATTTTTAACAGCACTGAGAGGCATCAGAAGTTACTTTTGTCATTCTTAACTCCATTACACTGTGCTGACCACACTATCACTTGACCCTATATAACAATGGAGTACTGCTGTTTGACCAAAAATTTTGGCTTAATTCACAGCTTAAACTTTGATAAAAAAATTACAAAACAGACTGTTCCATTGGTCTCTATTCAACATTTTCTACATTCCAGTACTAGATGAATCCAAACTTGTCCTGCCTGTTCTGAGGTAATATACAATTTGGCAGGATCCTGCAAAAATAATTGCCTTAACAAATGTGGCTTAGGAAGGCAATACTGAAATATTAGATCTAAGCGACGAAAGCAAAATTACACGCACACAGCACTTACCAGCAGTCTAGCCAGGCCAGGAAAACAACTGTGCAGTTTATCAGTTTTGTTATCTTTGAGACATTACCATTCCTTGCAACCCTGCATGTTTTTAAAAAAGACATGTCGGACATTGACATTACTATCACTTCTGTTTTTCTGAAATTCACTGCAAAGACAAATATTCCTCTTTCAGTTAAAACTTCAAAAAGATGCTTTTTTAACCCAACAAGCAGAAGGAACCACACTGAAGACCACCAGTCACTCCTGCATGACCTCTGCAGGCAGTTACATTATTTGCGTATGCTCAGTGCCTGGCAAGACTTCTGTATCTTTTATGCCCATTTTTGTGAGCTTCACTAATTTGAATTCCTCTTCACATTCTAATTCACTACACAAAATATGCATCTACACAAGGCAATCAATTATACAGCCTAGCTATGTAAAAATCTGCATTTTCCAAAGAAATAAATTCTGAATGATTGTTTAACTCATACATAAACTTAAGTCAGTTATACATAAATCATTCTGTAAATATAAAATGTAAACAGTTAAAATACTTCTGTGAGGAGCAGCACCATCTTACATGACTATTTATTAACTGTTCTATATATCTCAATATATCATTTGTTTAAAAAGTGTATTGAAACCTGGAGCTTTGTTGATGAAAACTACTGAATATTTATGACTTAAAATCAACCACTTCTAAGATTTCTGCTACACTGATCTCATGGTGAAATGAAAGAGATAAATATTAATTTATACAGCACTACTTCTCCCCCCTTTGGATGGCATATATTGCTCAATTAATGCATTAGCTACAGAAATCCTGAGGTTCTCCTACCACTTCATGGTTTTTAGCAATCAGTTACTTATGGTGGAGAAAGAGTAGCTGAAGTTTTGCCCCCACTGCATTCATGTCATTCCCTCTTTGACCCAAAAAAGCACTCAAAAAGTACTTGCCTTAGTAGACAAAACTAGTAAGAACCACAACTCCCAAGAATCACATCTCACATGAAAGTATAGCTACAGCATATTTGTTTTCCCCTTTGTCAGTCTAAACATCCTGGATACACTTCATTTCTTGTGTACAAAAACAGGCTACAAGCTAGAAGTAAACAGTTTATTGGCATTGAAATGTATTATTCATGAAGTATCCTCATGTTTTATGGTGATCACAAGATTTGGCATGCCACAACTCTGCAGAAAACATCATATTACTCTGCTAGGCTGGATATTTCTGCAGCTTTGAAGATATGCTTTGCTTTCTTAAGTTCATAAACCCATTCAGATAATGTTACTTTGCAAAGGTTTTTTTCAGTTTCTCTAAAAAATACCCTCACTAATTGTTGCTTTTGCTGAAGTATTATAGGCAAGTGGCCAAAACAAAAGAGGATTTTGTTCACTACCCAGCACCACAGTAGTATGCCTGAAACTACAGCTGGCTGCACTGAATTCTCTCTCCCTCCACCTGGACACAGACGATTGACCAAGCATAAAACTTTGAAGGATATCATGAACAAAACATCTGGAATAAATTCTAATTAAAAAATTGAAAACCTATAAAATCTTAAATAATTCATCATATGGTAATGACCACAACATTAATATGTGCTTTGATAAAACAAATCTTACAAATTCAGTAAAAAAAGATCAGCAGCATAATAGTAAAGCAAATATGCAGATTTTAAAACCACAATAAAAATTACCAGGTTTAATATTTTACAGTTAATTACAGCAAAAAAGTGGCTGCTTATAACACAACTTACAGTTTGAAATTACAGCACTTTATGATGAATTCCATGATTATTTTTGAAAAAACACTCAAAAATACCACCAAATTTTAAAAGTGCCCTATTAATGACTAAAAGGACCCCCCCTCCCACCACCCAAAATACCAAGTAGTCATCTACAGCAACCCAGAGGTCCAGCTGAGGTTTCTAGACTGCTGTCTGTATCAGAGGCCAATGTTGGATCTGTTGACATTGAAGACACATCGTTGACAGATGACGATGAAGATGGGTGTTGAGAGCCATTGATCATTGCTGCACCTGTGCTATGAGAAACAAAACAGCAAATCAGTTGCAGATACAGTTGCACAGTTCAATACTTGCATTAGTCTGTCTCTTCCTAATGGCTGTTACTTTTCCCTATTTTGGCAAGTTTGAAGAGATGTGTCTCAGTCCACTGTTAAAATAAATAAAGCCCAAAGTCTTTAATGTGGAGCTTAACAGATGGTGTGTCAGGAACTGAAATGAATGAAACATCAATTACATAGGGACAATGATATGGGGATTGAACACAACAATAAAAAAATGTCAGCCCCAAATATTCCACTCAAATATACAATGTCTCAGTGCCTCAGTTCAAGAGGTTAGGTCATTTAAGAGCCATATTTTTGAGTTAGGTTACTTTTGTATTTCTTGATGAGCTTTACTCCCTCCTGACCTAAAACTCAGTGGAGCCTTGTACTGTGCTTTTATTGTAACCAACCTAAAGGGGCTGGTTGGCCACGTATAACCCCATTCTTGGTTCTCTCCTCCAGGTCCATGACTTCCTTGTATATCAACTCTGAAAATACAGAGAAGGGAAGGCAAAAAATGAATCTGCAACACAAAGACTAGATCAATAATACACGGCCCGTTAAAATGTCCACTTGAATTCCATACGTCTGTTACTGTTCAGAATTAATTTTGAACAACAGGTCATAGGCTACACAACAACTGGCAAGTGATGTAAAAAAAGTACATTCTTTTCTGTTGGGGCTACAGTGGCCTGGCACTCTTGAGAACACACTGGCATTGCTCTAGGGCTCTTTTATTCAGGCTGCTTGGAGGCCTGAGGCTAAGCTGAGTCTTAAGGGCCACTCAGTTTTTATCAATGGCTTCTTTGGTAAGGAAACTCAATCAGCAATCTTCAAAGGAAGAGCCAGGAACACTTGAAGACTTTCCCTTCTAATTGAGCATTACATTGTTCAGGCTCCTGCATCTTTTTCAATTGTAGCAGTTTGTCCAGAAGAGTGACCCTCCCTACAAATGCTGTCCTATGGATTGCAAAAGGTGACTGACATGAGCAGGTCTTTAGGTCACTTCACAGGTTCATCTCCTTTGCAGGAAAAGTTTGTGGCCCAGCAACTGAGAAGCTGTGAAGCACTGGTCTGTTTCCCTGACATCTAAGCAGATCAGGTAAATACTATTATGTTGCTCAGAAGAACTTTAATAACAATAATCACTGGGGCCCAGCATACTCCGAAAAGGCTTATTATACTTTAAATGCCTTTCTTACCTTTCCACTCTTCTATCGTGTGCTCCCTCTCATCTAACTGCTTATCTGGTATCTTTGGTGGAGGCTGAAAAACAAAACCAACTCATCATACAGCAGTCAAAAGGGATACAGAACCAGTATAAACTAAAAATAAAATAAACCATTCAGAACAGGAACCCGATTTAAAAATAACATTTACAGGATTATATATCTGTTCATACTTGGACTTAGCCTGTTTTTTAGATGCTACCACAGTCTTTAAAGTTCTTCTGATTAACAAATTTGTTTACATTACTGTAATAATTAACAGAGAAACGGATCAGTCTGGTAGAAGAGCTCCTAACTGCAGCAGTCTCCAGCACAAGCAGCTCTTTTTAGCTACTTAATGTTAATTACTAAATTTTCTATCTAGCTATTAGAGAGCAACAGAATTATAATTGCTCTCTTTACATCAAGTAGCTTTCTCTATTCTTAGTGGCTATCACCAAACTTTTGTTTTTTAAAAAAAACACTTTTCTCATAAACTGAAATTATCCTGAAATTAATTTCTCAAGGAAAAAAATTACATTATTCCTTTGTTCATTACTTTTAATAACTGAAAGCTCAAGATCTTGTATTCAGATTTTGCTGAAACACTTATTTCTAGTTGAAGAATAGTATCAATTCCTGCAACTAATGAAAGCATTTTGCTTCCCCAAGAATAAATACCTCAGAACCCCATCCAGGGCAATCAAATCACACTGAAACAACCAAAGCTTGCTACATTAGAACCCTACAGAAAAGATTTCAGATGCATGACTATGTTCAGGAGATGACAGGCAACTATACACCAACATAGAGATACAAGAACACATAGACAGGTACCTCAGCCCATTCCTGATGCTATTTCTAATAAGCACATCTATCAACGTAGATAAAAACAATTATGGCTCAGTTAAGCTTCTAATGAAATGTGCAACAATCTTTTGTCAAGCAGCTGTACCAAGCATCGCAGCAAGACGGCTTTATACAGCAGATTCCTAAGCAGAGACCTAAAACAAGAACTTACAGCTTCTGCTTCTGATGGATCATACCAAACATTGATGTATGGGTGCTGCAGGGCTTCATCCACAGAGATTCTTTTAGAAGCATCTATAACCAGCATTTTTGATAACAAATCTCTTGCTTGACTTGCTGCAAAAATAAAATTTTCTGTTTAGATTACTGCCATATATAGAACACATAATACAGTGTTTCAAACTTTTAAAGAGAAGGGTCAGAGTAATCCAGTTCAAATTAAATGTCTATGCAACCCTCACATAATAAGAGGTTTAGGAGAGCAGTCGATTTGATGGCAAAAAAACCTGAAGAGGATGTCACAGGTGGGAAAGGTGTCAAACATGTTTCACTATCCATTTGCATCATACAGTGTCCCTTGTTGTGACATCTTTATGTGAAACAGCTCTGGTGGCAGTGCAGCCTGGTCTTGAATAGCAGCAGGCAAGCACCCACTGCCCCTACATGCTTTTAGCCACAGAGAACACCATGAGGGACTCCACTGAATAGGTGGCCTTTAGAACCAGTAAGTCACTGAAATAACTACAGGGTATCTATGTATTATGAACATAAATTCCTTATTTTCATCCCTACAGAACAAAGACCTGCTTGGCCTACACAACTTCTTTTCCAACCTCCCCCCACTTTTCTCTAAACTGTGTTGGCATCTGTCATTGAGAAGAATATAGATATTTACATGTTTTTATAAAGACATCTCCAAGAATAGGAGCTGTCTCATGAAGATATGAAAGTGGAGGCAAACACATGTCAGCACATTCATCCACTCTCATGATATAAATATTTAGAACCTCAGCAGCATGATTCTACAGTGAAAAAAACCAAGCTACACTTCTATTCAAAAATCACAGTTTTAAAACTTTTAAAACATACAACACACAGAAGACAGACTTTACCTTTAAGTTTATTATGTTCGGAGTCAGCTGGGAATAGGACATCTGGAAAGAGTTTTTCAAAACTATATCCAGCATATTTAGGTCTGTTCTCCACGTAAGTTCGGACTGTAGGCTGTAATTTCTTCATAAATTCAGGGCATGGTGTTCCTAGCTGCTCTATAACTTTATTCCATTGATCAATATCTAAGGCAATATAGCTAAGAAAAACACTGTTTGGTTTTCAGCTAGAAAGTTATGTTAAAAGCACATGAAATAACCAACAGAGAAAACACGGGAAATTATAATAAAGTATCAAGTTCATTATCATGAATTATGACTACTTTCTTACATGATGAAACAAAGCAAGACTATGGTAGTGTAGTCAAGGCAACACGTATTTCACTCAAAATCATTACTGGCTAGAAGAGGATATAATTCTGAGAAACAGAGTATTAGAAGACTCACAAAATATTTAAACACAACAAATTTAACTTAAGTCCTTGGGTCTGAGTCCGAGAGAACTGGTCTGAACACACATTGGCATTAGTCAAGCTATTAAGCATCACCAAGGCACTCCTGATAATGACCCCAAGTGGGTGCTTTGTCCTTCATCCTCATCTTGGTACCTCAGGCCAGTCCTGGGTAACCTCTCACCAAGGATATGCAACCCTCAGCACCAGTGGGCACACAAAGGACCAAGGCTTGGCCCACACAGGTCAGTGACAATACTGTCAGGGACCTGAATGAAGAAAAAAGTTTCAAGGATGCATAAGGAACATCGTAACTGTGAAGTTTACACACTGTAAAGGGGAGATTGACCATTTCAGGGCAGAAGAATTTAATACATTTTACTGAAACAAAAAAAGTAAAGTTTAGCTCAGGAATTCCTAATTGCAGATAGTTAAATACTGTGGGAGAACTCAGATAAAATTTTATATACACTAATTCACATTTTCCCCAACTTTTTCTCTTTGGCTGCCATCAAAGACTGGATACCAGGCTATCTAAATCAACAGTGGGTTGAAGTAGACCCTCTTTTATATTCTTAAAACTTAACAGCAGATCTCTATATAAGGATTCTCAAGCTCTGCTGAGCTTTAGTACAGGTCTTGACAAAAGGAACTATTTATCTGGTATGGCACCAAGTCTAAACTGAAAAGCCATGCCAGCAAACCAGATGCATAAAGCAAAGCACGGTGCAGCTCATGCAATGACAGAGCTGTGTGAAAGTAAGGATGCTCTGGATTTCCCTACAAAGGCTCAAAAATCTCCACCCCATTTTCACCCCTAAATGGTACTATAACAATTTTTAAACAGTAAGCTGTACCAAAAGCAGGAAACATTTCTGATACCATCTTAAAAAAAAGTCAGAAAGTAATAGTAAAACAAATAGGATATCAAAGTCCAATTATTTTCACTAATTTTAGCAAGGATTTAGAGGTTTTAGTTCTGTTTGTTTGGAGCAGACTCTTTGTCTGAAATACTGTTCACAGGACAACCCATATAGACACAACAAAACCATTCACAGAATAGAAAGACAAAAATACCAGATATTTCTAAAAGCTCCTTGCAGGATCATTTCTGCATACAAAAAATAAATCTCCAGAGTGTAACTAATGAAGATGGTTTGGAATTTTGGTAAACACTCTCTATAAAATGCAAAGAATAGTAACTACTAACATGCTCAGGTACTAAACAAGTTTAGTAAATTACTACATAAAAATGAATTCTGAAGTAAAACCAAATGCATATGAACCAAGAAAACACCATCTAAACAAAAAGAAGTCTGTTTTAAGTGTGACAACATTCAAAAGTAATGGATAGGGACTCTATTACACTGGAAAAAGAAAAGAAGGGAAAAAAGGAAAAAGAAAAAAAAGCCTATTTGCCCAAGTGGTATATAATGAACTTGCAAACTGATATTTGAAAAGGCAGTTTTAAACCCATATTTTAAAAATTAGAACCACCTTAATCTGGAATTATATCACTGCAGTATCTTTTGACATTTTACAACTACATCCCAGACCAAGGGTAAGGATACGATCTGTACCAGGAAATAAAACACCACCTTTGATCATTTCTCCCATGATGCACCCAACTGACCAAATGTCAACTGAAAACAAAATGCAATGATATTAACATAAAAGATACTTATTAAAATAAAATAAATAAAAATATCTAGACACACATACACATGAAGTGACTGTAAAAAGCATGTGCAATGAAAATGAGTGAAGGTGAATGGATGCTAACTACAGGACCAGCAGAGACTATGTCCTACTGCTAGGTGCAGCCTGAATAAAATGATTTTTTTTAAGTGTATCACAAGAAAAATCCATGTTCATTTAATAAAAAAAAAAAATTGTACAATATGCATCTTCATGACACAACATCAATAAGAAGGTTAATCACTTCCTAAACTAATTCAACCTGCTGCAGCAGCACAAGGATACAGTCCCTTCCTGGAAAGAGGATTTTGTGGCAAACCATTTCGCCCATAATGCACCCCACAGACCATAAATCCACTATGTTTGTAGCACAAAAAGAAGGAAGAGCAAAGCAAACGGTCATTTAAAATTAAAAGAAGCATAACATGACTGCATCCTATAAACTGCAGAGACAGCACAGGAAGAAGAGCAAGTCTTTGCATTAACCAATGAAAACAGTCTAACATACACCATGTGTAAGGATTAGCTTTTAACTGTCTCAAATACAAGGCAGAAAAACATCCTTTTGTTTAATATAGTGCTAAAGCAAGAGCTTGAGCAGAGAGAGAGACACAAAGCAATCAGAGTAAAGCACTTTCTCCAAGGCTGGAGGCTTCAAAGCTACCTCTGCCAAGGGAATAGATTCAACCAGCACATACAGATGGATTCCATGAAAGTAATTCCACTGTACTTGCAGGAATAATTCTAAAATTAACTACGTAAACTGAAGTGTAAAAATATTGCCTATTGAAACAGTTCACGCTTTTTAAGAGAATTACAGGATTTACAATTTGACATCAAGTATTTCCTAGAAGTCAGATTACCATGCATCTCTCTCTCGTTTTAAATAAAAAGCAAACAGAATCAGTAAAAGATCACTTAGAATTTTAGAGGATCAGTTAATGACAATGTTAGTATGCTCCTAAATTTTCAGTTCAAATAATTTGTTTTAAAATATGTCTCCAGTTACACTGAAATAACATTTTATACAAAAGAAAAACTTGAAAGCAATTTTTAAAAAATACGCATTTTCTACATTACTTTAAAATAATTCACTCAAGACATAAAGATGCACAAGTTTACTTTGTATACGTAAGCCAATTTCTTTTGCAGTTACTTTCAGAAGTATTGTTAATTCCATATGCAAAAGTTTTCTTGAAGGCATAACAATGAAATTTTATTATTATAAATACTTCTATGTCAAGTACGACACTGGAATTTCAATTAAGCAGATAAGAGGGGAATTTAAGTGACAACAATTATATAGTAAGAATTTTATGTAAATGTTCTGAAGGAGCTCAACAATGCCAAGCAAGCAATATTGCTTCTTATGTTTCAATATTCTTTCTCCTTTATTTATTAAAGTTCCTCTAAAATAGTATCTAGATAATATGATAAGAGATCATAGTTGTGCATATTAATAGGTCAAAATTAAGGGCCTTGCTCATTTAAAAAAATATTGTCAACACCTTAGTTTAGAGCTCTTTTTCCTTTAATTTTTTTTTTCAAATACTTAAGTACATATTATTTGGCTTAGAGAATCAAAGAAGCCAAGTTTTGCATTTGACTTTTAAAATAAAATTCTGAATGTTGACTTTTTTATCTGCAAACAACCTCCTACCATCACAACCCAAAATATACCCAAATCTCTTGTAATTAGCTTGTGTCCAACATGATAAAGTTACCATTCTTCTGGAATCCCTACAAAATCAAACTTGAGATGTTTTGTGGTGTTTTGATTTGCTGCTTTCATTAAATCAAGGATCTCTCTAATCACAGGTCTCTAACTTTTGTAGCAAGCTGAACCAATACTACTGTGAATACTTTTACAGAAGACTAAAATCTCATTACAGATTTGAAAAATCCTTTAAAAAATTTATTGCTGTCATAAGGCATCCATTTTATTCTTAAGCCTGTGAACTTAATGATTTTTATAACTCTAGGAGAAAAAATACCATGTAAAAATGAAGTTTAAACCCTATCTACCTAGTAGGAAACGTAAAAGTAGTTGTTTCATAGTGTTTAAGGCTTTCCTTGTTTTCCAGTGTTGCCTTCCTGATAATCATGGACATAACAGTGCATAAATCTGTTAAGGAACACGTGCACAATCAGTTCTGGTATCCTTTAGTTGGTTTCTTAATGTGACAAACATCCTTTGGTAACAAACCCTACATAAAAGCTAACTCTATGTATTTGTTTGGGCTCTCTAGTTTTAAACAATTGAAGATTTTGTATCTGTACAGCACCAAAAGAAAATTACCCTGCAGTACATTATCTCAGTCATCAAAATATATATTACAATCCTCCCACAAGTTCAGCAGGGCACAAACTGCAGGAACCCACCAGACAACCCCTAACCATTAGAAAACTGTCAATTTTCAAGATTTAACTCCACACTAAAAGTTAAACACACAGTTTAACTTTGGGTGTAATGGGCTATAATAGGCATCAATACTAACAGGTGAGGCTCCTGGACAGCCCATGGTTCTTGCTCTAAGTGCATCCTTGATACCCATCTCCCTGTCATGGCAGCTCCACAAACTCCTTGGCAGAGAAGACTTAACAGCTCACATAAACTGCCTTTTAATGAGAGCAGTACGGATGGAAATGCAATTGTCTTTGGACTCACTCCATACATTTACATTCTCCAGGAGTGCCACTCTCATTTCAGTGACCATGTATTTGGCTTTGGGAAGACATGATAGCTTTTCAAATGAAAGTAAATTATTATTTATGATGCACAACACAACTCACACTTCCTTAAGGAATAGGATAGTCACAAGCTTGACAGGATACTCTAGAACACTATCTATCTAACTCCAGTAGTGGAAAGAATGTTTCACGCTTTTGTAAGCCAAAATTACTTACTATTTAAGAGAAAAATTTAAACCGGGTGATCTGAGTCAGAAAAGTTCTGACTTTATCAACTCCTTCTGTAAGGCAGCTGCATGACTCACTACTACAACTTTAGGTACTTTTCTTTAGTGTCCCTTAAATAGCCAATATAAAGTCTTTGGGGGAAAAAAAAGACAAAATTAAATTTGCAAATCTAGAAAACTTTAGGAATTAAATAACTAACTTGCTGTACTCAGCCTATGACTCCTAGGTTACAGGAAAAACAATCAACCATGGAGGACATTTAAAGAAATGTAAGCTCTCTCATGAACACTAACAATCTAAACAAGTATCTCAGTCTTGCAATAAAGATCTACTCTCATTCCTTTGAGCTGGCTTCTTTCATTGCTGGCACCATTCACACAGCCTGCAGTCACTTGCTGCAATGGTATGCAGTTGCCAGGCAGGTTTGCAGACTCTATTAGGAATGCTGAAAGGCAGAGCCCCAGTTGTGTCAGGAGGTGAGGAACCATCCACACTTCACATCCCCAGGAGACAGCTCAAGGCCTCCCTGGAGGCCTGGCCAGCAGAGTTTGAAACCCACAGGTGACCTGTGGGCACTGCCAGCCTGAGGTGCTGCCAAGTGAGAGCAGGGAGCTGCCTGAGCACGGGGACAGCACAGCAGTGCAAGGGCAGCAGAACCGGGCTGCCCCAACGGAGCGTCAGCAAGGACACCGCACGTGGTGCTCCTAAGGGCTGCCACTAGCTGTTTCCTTGAAGGTGCAATGTATTTGATGATGTGTTTCCCTCAAATGACAGACCTTTTTTTATTTTCCTGTAGAACACACTGAGAGGCAGACTGGTCACATAGCAAGTATGGTGAGGAGGAAGTGTATGTGAAGTAAAATTCCCTTGGAATTTGTCATGGACCTCAAGAATCTACTGTCATATTGACAGTACCCTCTGTATGCTTGTCTCAAGTATATTATTGAGTTTTTCTTCAGCAACATAAAGAACTTAGTGCAAAAGGCTTAAAGGAGGCTGGTTTTAATAAAAAGCAATGCCACAGTAGGTAACCTTAACTTGCTTGTTCCTCAGTAGACTTTATGCTCCCTACCTCCTGCAAGGCCATAACCAATACAGTTATTTAGCACTGAATTTAGCACACATACCTACTGAAGAATTACCATTTACATCTTCACCAGGAATAAAGTCAGATGAAGGTATATCAAAGTACAGACCACATATTAAGAAAATATATTTCCAGTTCTTCCTGGATGTCATGTAATCTAAAAAGGAAGTTATTTAAATTTTTAAACAAACAAGGCCCTCAATTTCTTCTCCTATTAAATGCAAACATTTTCTAATGGGTTGAGTTGAATAAACAAATTGGTGTATCCAGAATCTGCATTTTGGTCACAAGACCAATTTATAAAATTTCTACACTTTGAAAGAAACATTAACATGTAAAATGTGGTGTGCCAAACATAAAAAATAAAGCTATGCCAAAGAAAGACTATATTTGCTGACCGTTTTCTTTGTATCCCATCCCTAGGATGACCTCTGGTGCTCTGTAGTAACGAGTCACTACATAAGGCGTCATCATAAAACTAGTTCCTGCAGTTCTGGCCAGTCCAAAGTCAAGAATCTTCAAAGTGCAGTCTGACTTTACTACTATATTACTGGGCTTTAAATCCTTAAAAAAGAAACATCATATATGACTGCTAAGACAAGCACAAAGTAGCCTGTGGTTCACATTTTAAAAAGATAATATTACTAACATGAAATCCCATGCACACAACTAGGTTATTTCTATAACTGCAGCTTTTTTCCCCTTGCATTAATTTATGTGCATTCAGCAGATTACAGAATTAATTCCTTTATTGTGCTTGTAGATTTATATAGCAATTAAAGAAGGAAAATACAACCAGCATTACAAGATATGTTAGCAATGTCTGAAATAAATTGAGGTTAGTAAGAAGTGTTAGCTCTCAGGAAAGGTCTAAAAACTGCTCACTGGAACAGTAATTACTACTACAATGCAGAACACAAGTAACATGACAATTACTTGATTCAATAATTATCTCGATACAAGAATTATTAGAATTATAATGAATGTAAAAGGTTCATTTGCTAGTTAAGGTTACATTACCTCTTTTGAATCAATTTATTTCTCCCATATGGTATTAGTTTCCAATTTATGACTTGGTTTTATATTAAGTTTGGCAACCAAACCCAAAAAGGCACCATTGAAAAACTGCCAAAAATTCACACAATCCTTAAATTGGAGTGGAACATGCTGACATGGCTTCAATAATTTTGGTTAGCAACATGGTAACTATTCTCTACACTTGAACCCTACTGACAATAGCACCTTTGCAACATTTATTTATACAAACACTACAGTGGCTTTCTCCTTCATCACCTCAGCACGATCTTACACACACCTGAATGTCACAAAGTAAATATTACAGAGTAACTTCAGAATAACTTTGAAATCATAAGATCATTCATAGCACATGGAACAATACAGATAAGCCTAAAATACTTCCTACCCACACTCTACTGAGATTAATGAGACAAAACCCTGACAGGTGACAGAGGACTCCCTCACCTGAGTAGTAATAATTTGATAAGTAGCCCTATCTGTCATTGTTCCTTAAAGACTTAAAAGTGGATTTCTGCCAGATTTATGTAGTTTTGATTTGTATTTGGATGGCTTTCAGCAATCTTCTCATAATGCTAATAAAACTGCATTAAAGATAGGAAGGAAACAACAAAGAGTTCCAGAATAACAGAATTGTAATGACTAGTTAAAAGTCTTGCATTTCACACATGCATTTCAACACAAAGACTCTGCAGACAACTTTAGCTTAAAACAGTCTCAAATACCACAAATTAATTAAAATTAATACTATAAGGCCTTCTATTATTATTCTATTAATTCTATAAGGCCTTCTGGCCATTTAATATGCCTTGTTTCAGATTCTGCTACAGTCCTTTTTATTATCAGTCATTGCAGAATGCCAGATGCATGCTCAGGGTATTAACTACACTCATCCTCCCCAAAGCTGCAGGATTAACACTCAAAATGTTAAGAGATCTTCTCTTTGCTTACCAAATGTTGTCCATTCTTATTTCTGAACACCATGTGGCTGTCATGAAGCCTAGGATCAAAATGATGAGTTAACTTACACTACACTGAAATTCATGCAGAGATGCAAAACCTGCATCTCTTATATGTTCTGTTAAATAAACAGAAACTCATCAGCTCATTTGGGAGTGATCAAATTAATTAGGATGGATAAATACAACCAGAACCTATAGCAGAAAATCTTTCACTGAACTTTGAAAATGTAAAATGCCAGTGATTAAGAAACAGATTCTTGTACGGTCATCTCCCCATTAGCCAGACAAGGAGACAAGGACATCTCTGGAGGGTAATTCAAGGCTTCTTGGGGGCTTTTCTCTTTCTAACAGAAGATTTGTGAACGGCTTCTGTAATTAGGCCCCTTGTTAAGTGCTCAAAATTGGGCAGAATTTAATGTTTCAAGAGTCTCCATGCGAGACTAATGAGCCACTCTTCGTCCCTCAGAAAGTCAGTGAGGCACAAATCTGCAATGCTGATCATTCATCCTCAGACTATGAAATATAAATGAACGTGTACTCTATATTGGTTGCAAATTGCTTCTCTGCAAAATGTTTGGAACACAGTAATGTTGATTGGCCAACATCTGTTAAAGTCAGTGCAAAGTTTTGGTCAAATCTTTACCCACTGATGTGGCAACTAAGTTTGCCCCTACAGCTTCAAGGTGAAGTTTACTGAAACTCATTGTGTTTGATCTCTGCCTTGCTCCTTGTGCCTCTAGGTTGCTATTAAAAAACCCTACTTATTTCTATGGTAAGTAGTATCCAGTGCCATAAGGCACAAATACAGACTTTTTTGTGATTTCAGTCATTCAACAAGCTTTGAAAAAGTTACTGAGATACTGAGATTACCACAGCTATGTTAGAAGCTGAAGAACCCAGTTAAAAAACATGTGAAACTACCAACACCAAAAAAAGCTTTAGAGATCACTAAAGTAGAATATTAGAGTCATAGCCAGAATGCTTTTCGGGCAGCCACAGTACTGCAGGCTATGTTTAAGAAGTTTCAATAAAGTAATTAGCTTTGGACACTAAGGACTGGTGCTGAGAGCCCGGTAGCATGGTACAAAGAGTTAACCACTGCAGCCACATGGTCTGTGTGACATCTGGCCCTTTGAAGGACATCCTCCTTGTAATCCAAGGTTTTAAAAGTTCAGCTTCCTCCACAGAGGAAAAAAAACTTTGATACTTCACACCTTGAAGCCAAAGGCACAACGAACTCAGCAGGTAAGGCTGTGCCTGAATATCCTCAATCTTCTAACAAAGCCTAAGAAGCAGCTGTCAGCTGAAAATCTACCAGGAAGACATGCAAGTGAAATGTCCTTCAAAAGCATCTGCACATGTCCTTTAAAAGCATTCATGCATACATATGGTGCTATTTACATAGGAATTGTATTTAGTCTCTTTAGGATAGTCTATCCCTGTATGACAGGAAGCATTTCAAAGACTTAACCCATATTTACAGAGGCAGGACTTCTATCCTCAAAGCTCTCTTCACTCTTGCCCAACTACCTAAGTAGTTACTTCTTTTCTATAAATGTAAAAATGTTTAAATTTATCCACAACTTCTACAGGATCAATGCCCACTTCAGAGGAGTACAAACCACCCTGAGGCAAAGCACACTTTTAGAAGCTCCCTTAAGCTTGTGCTAAGATCCACAGAGAGACATTCTTACTTTACCTACTCTAGCATGTCCAGAAAATACACTGTTTTCCAACACAAAAAAAGACCTTGGAAAATCCACAGCATTAAACTTGCATACATAAATATTGCAGAGGAAATGTGAAACTGGATGCAAACCATTATTTCAGACCCACATGCACATACATCACAACACCACAGGCTGCATATTTTCAGTCATAGCCAATATAGCACCACAACAGTAAGGGGAACAACCTAGTTTTGCTGAGCATTCCCAGAACAATGCAAAAGGTTCAAGTGACCTATCTCAAACACCCACAAGCAGACCAATTCAGGTACAATGCCTGGTTGCAGGCAATGCTTCTCCCTCCCTTGCCCATCTCTTCACTGAACACAGCAGTTCAGTGAAATTGCAAGCAAGAAGGAAGGTTTCACCTTCATTCCTTGAGCTCCTCACTGGAATGAAGCAGCTGATGAGTACTAGAACTAGCTGAGCAAAAGGAAGCAGCATTTGCCCATTCAAGCTGTATTTTCTATTCAAATAATTTCCCCTGTTTCCCTGAGGAAAAGATGGCACACTGAACAGGAGAGTCAGACTGCAGATCCAGCTTGCAGACCATTCAACACCCCAGTGACAATGTGACCCCACTGACCTGGACAAGCATCCTAACCAAATCCTGTGGCAGTGCACAGAATTGCCATTTGTGATCTGCTTTCCTGTGCACATCATGAGGAAGACTGTGCAGTAAGGACTGAAACCATCCCACATCACTGAAGTTAATAAAATCTTTTCTATTGCTTCAAAAATGAAAACTTCTTAAACTCTTTAAAAAAGTCACAATGAAAAACGTAGTACTATAAAAATATAAGCTTCCCATTTCCTAAACCAACAAGATTATACTTAAAAAGTTATAACCAGACAACCTCAAGCAATTTTTAATCTATATACCATTATATACAAGATGCTCACTTGAACAGGCAACCTTAAATTCAAATTCTCTCGACTAGATTGCAACACATGCCATTTGAAAAGCTGTAGCCAGTTTTGCCTGTTAACCATCTGAGTGAATTATTTGTGACACACAGGTGTTATCCAAGTTCCAATGACAAGTCTTTATCATCATCATCTTATCTGGAGATTTCAGATAGTTATTCATTACTCGGCTAGTAAAGAGAAGAAATAAAATAGGCAGTTCTTTCCAAAGATGGAATTTCAGGTTTGGTTACCAAAACAATAAAGGCAGAGACGCTTCCAGATATCCTTTCCTGCCACAGCTACTAAAGCAGAACATGATACAGAATTAGAGGAGGTAATGCAACTCACTGCAAAAGTGTTCAGTTTGCTCTGTGCAGATCATTATCAAATCATTTAAACATTCAAAAGGCTCATTCCAGAATTACCCTGGAAAAAGGTATGATGATTTCCTTTCAGTTTTTTCTCCCTGCCAAAGGGACAGGCTATGAAACACCCTTCATGCTCCTAATTCTAATTTCTTTTATCTTTTAAATACTCAAGATAAAACCAGGTGCAATGCAAATTACACCGTTTAGTTCACTTACCCTATGAATAATCCCAGCTGAATGAAGATGTTTGATACCACACAGCATTTGATAAAGAAGATAGGACATTCGTTCATGGTCCAGCTCCATCTGAATCACTTGGCAGAGATTTGCATCCATGAGCTCCATCACTATGTAGCTTATGAAGAAAAAAAAAAGAATAATCAGATAATACTGCCATTTTACTGTATTCTCCCTCTTGCTAGTCTTTTCATATGAATACTTTAAAAATAAATTCTCAGCTTTAGCTTCAAATCTGACTTACACATCTTGAAATTCTTCCAGGGATTTTTGTGGTGTGAACACATTCAGTAGGCCGATTATCTGCAGGGAGGGGGAGAGGAAGGGTAATTGTACCACAGCAATAACAAAGCTGCAGAGTCAACATTTCAAAACTGGTTACTATTACTCTGATATGAACCTCCTAGTATACACTGAAGCTCAGGATGCTCAGCAGCTCAATCAGGCCTAACGTGATGTAAACAGATACAAATGATTTTGAAAGGAGTATTTTTCTTCCACAAATCACATAATCTAAAGACACTCTTGTGTGTTAAGATGATATTCAAACCTTAAAACCTAAGGAGCTTAGTCCCTCTTCCCCTTCCTCCTACTTTCAGTTTGAAGACCTGGTAAGATTTGTTTTGTACATGAAGAATAAAAAAATTTAAACCTGACAAAGACTCCCTAAAAGATACTACTTTGCCACTAACTGAGGTGAAGAAACAACTTCATCCAAACAGAAAAACAGGTTCTTACAGATGCTTTAGGATATCTTACATTAAGAATGGATGGGATGTACAGAAAGAGGCCGAGCTACTATTCATCAAGAATCAGGCAGGCTTGCAGTAGTTTATCATCATACAAATTATGCTATTAGGTGGAATATCCTTCAGAGAATCCACATATAAACACTTATGAGAGAAATTACAAATTTTTCCCCAAAAGCCACAAGACAGAGTAAATTTCCTATGACACTCTCCCTCCCTAGCAGTCAGGAGAATTTTTATCTTCCTGATGGGGGATTAAAAGAGAAGGTAAAGACAACTGCACACATCTGACTCTGAAGGAAGAAAATGGCCAACACCAGCCTTCTGCAGTTCAACTCCAATAAATTTATTTGCTTCCCATTTCTGTGATCTTGTCTACTGCACAGCTTAATAAATACTGGACAGCTACTGCTGCCACAACATAAGATTCTAAACCCATTTATGCACCAGGGGGAAAAAAAGGTATTACAGCCTATTTCTTTTTTCTCCTATATATCTAGCAGCAGGATGCACTTACCAACCATGGTACTCTTATTTGACAGCTGCTTGCAAATTTCAGCAATATAACACTGACTCTTGCTGAGTTTGAAGTGGGTATTTAAAGATTGGGCAGGTATTAAAACTAGTCAATTATAACTCTTCTGCAACACCCTTCTGTATTTATCATGGTGGCACAACTATGCAATGGAAATCTCTGAAGTCACTTTCCAGACTTTTACAAAGGATAACCCTCCAGTTAATTCTTCAAGATCTGAAGCAGGACACGGCACTCACGTTTTTGTGATTAACGCACTTCATAAGAACAAGCTCTCTGTAGGCTCTTTTAGCGTGGGTTTGGTTCTGAAACGGTCGGCTTAACTTCTTGATTGCAACATTCCGCTCAAGGATGGCATCATAAGCTGCACTGTAATTAAAAATAACATTATTACATCCCTAGTGTCAAGGTCCTTTAAGCTGTGGCAGTTGCAAACATTTTCAGCTACTTTATATCATGTCTGCAGAAACCCCAAATTTTCAGTGTTATCCAGCTTCAGGAATGTGATATAGCAAAGTGCTCTTGTACGTTGAGTGATTCAAAATTTAAAAATATTTCCCAGCTTCAGAACATTAACACATGACAATCTCTACAATATAATGCAGTATTTCTGCTTCCAAAGATACTGAGTTCTTGCCACTCACTACCACTCAAGAACAGACCATCTACAAAAGATCCAAAACACTTGAAACATAAAAAGCACATTAATTTTATGTGAAATCTTCACACTAAAAGGGAGAAGGCAGGAAAAGTAGGTTATAAAAAGGTCCCATGCTTTCAATTATTTAGTAGCTTAATATCCTGATGACAATAACAGTAAAGTCAAGCCAAAAAATTGTGAAGAAAGCTTTAACCTCTAGATGTCACTGGCTTTAAGTTGGTGAAAAAAAAAAAAAAAACATTTTGTTTGCAGACTAATTCCAACATTGTCATACAATTCAGTAACACAGGCTGTTTAACTGATGAAAACTGTTATTGGAGTTAACTCCCTTACATATCACATTTCCAGGACAGGAAGGCATGGCTTGTTTTTCCTGTAAGAGCTAATACAACAGCTGACTGCCATGCAGACTCAGGAAATATTTATCAGTTACTAAAAAAGTCTCAGCAGGGAAAATATTATTTTCTTATCTCTTCTCAAGAATGGTACTCCAATCTAATGAAGAATATCTGCCAGTAAACAGTAGCATCTATTAAATTCAACTCACTACTTTAAAAAGTGGATTGCCTATGTAGTAAGTAGGCTTGACTGATTTCTAATTTATCATCAACAAAACCTCTAGACACTACTAAAGAAAAAAATGGGAACAACATGTACTAGTAACTTTCTTTAATATACATTTTCCACTATATCTGGAATTTCCCCACCTGCACCAAAGATAAGGATTATTTTAGGAAAGCTGGCCAACATGGGACTCCTGTTCTAGTATTTAAACTTCTGCATTCCCTGTACATAACAGCAGCCTAGAGACTGTTTCAGTACCAGGCCATGTACTTAAAAGTCCTCCAAATCAAGTTGGATCAGTTACAACAACAACAAAAAAGAAACAAATACAAACCATCACCACTGACAACAAAAACTCCAATCCAAAGAATTGCACTGTATGGATATACATGTGCAAGATTTAACCACAGGCCTTGTCAGGGTAAGCTGTGATTTAACTAAAAAGGCTTAAATTACACCACCAGCAGCAATTACAGAATGGCCCTAGAGTAATTACATGGTCAGTTTTGGGATCTCTGCTCTAGGAAGGGCAATAAATTTGAAAAATCAGCAGTAGTTAACATACAACTGGCCATCAGAAGGACAGTAATAACAGCTAAAGCTTTTATTGGCATTTCTATAGCAACTAAACAAATTAATCAAGCAGCTGTCTACATCCTCAGTATGTTAACACATATGCAAATAAAATTCAGATCAGTTATTTTGTTGCTGCTAGTTAATACCTGTAATCTTAATGCCAGAAGTTACAATTTCAAAAACAACTCTCTCTACCATTCTTTCTTCAAATTTCAAATTTGCACTTATTACACTTTTATTAATCCTGCTAAAACACAAACATGAATTAGAAACCCACCAATACCACGCATTCTCTCTACACTGACCAAAAACAGGATCAAGGCAGTAAAGAGGTGACAGAACTGAGATTATGCTCTTCCCTAACTTTCTCTTCCTTGATGCTTTTGTATTTTTATGTACCTGGTTTACATCCTAAGAATTACAATAAACTGCAGAATTTGCAAGATCCTGTGATATTTACATCTTTCTCAAACATTCAAGAAAGCTTCCAATAAGGTTAAGCCAACATTTCTCTTTGAGGCAATGCTACTTCACAGGAAATAGTGCCTACAAGCAGCGAGTTGTCAACAACTTAAATCAAACGGACACTTTTCAGTCCACACAGTAGAGCTCTTATTCAAAAAATGACAGTGTCAGGTCATGTTTTCCCAAACTGCATCATGCACTTCCTATGACAACCACGGTGCTCACCCAAATGCTCATTCACTGGTATCAAGGATTACTTGGATTGTGAAAAACTCCTAACAAACTTCAAGAAGTGTGAACATTTACAAGCAGAAAATATTATATAGAATATTTCCGGCTTTTGTTTCACTGCAAGCAGTGTGGTTTAGGATTAGGATTAGTTTCTTTATCCAGTTTCTTTTTCCCCCATTTATTTACAGGACTTGACACAACTGGCTGAATTTGCACAGAAGGGCATCAATTCTAAAGCTGCACAGGTCAAAAAGCAACAGCAAGCCCTTGCTGAGGAAAAATGGTCAGGAGTTACCATTGCTGTTTTGCTTGTAAAAGGTAAAAACACTTCTCCACACTCCTGGCTCTGTAACATACAAAACCTCAAAAAACTATGTTAAGGAAACCTAAAGGTACATTTAAATCTTAAAGAAACCTTACCAGACTATCCCTTGTGCTCCTGATCCTATTGGTTTCAAATTCTGATACCGTTTCAATACGGTGAAAGTTGAGTCTCCAATTTCAACGCTGTAGAAATTGTTGTCACGCTTGCTCCTGCTCATGACGGCAACTTGCTTAGTTCACTTCATCCAAATTTTGCTTCTGGGCCTATGAAGACATAAAATTGGGAAAACTAAGATTTTACAACTATATGTAAAGTGACATAAGGCAAAACTATTTTTAAGACACACCAGACACTTCCCAAATAAGTCCCAAGTGCACATATAAGTATTTTTTACTGGCAGCCCGCAGTCAGTCAAGATAAGAATATTTCAAAACTGAATTGTAAGATATTCCTGTGTGGTAACTAGTTCTTTGTATTGCCCCAAGCACTATTTATCCAAGAATGCACAACAAAAATGTAGGAATTAAAAGTAGCACTGTATCCAGAGTGAAATCACCTAAGGTATCTGCAAGGCTGGATGTAAGCTTTATTCTGAATTCACTAACAGTAACTACAGTTCAACAGTTCTTCAGGAGACTTCAGGTGGTCAGCAACTTCCATGCCTCAGTTCTGTACAGCCTGATACAGCTGTAGAAACAAACATGGATGCATTGAACATAACGCTCCATGAAAATGCAAGTAGCATTTATCTATGAAAGTATCATACCTAAGCTTAAAAAGTACGCATATTTATAAATTGTTTCACTGACACTTCCTCCTCCACAAGTGAATAAGACTAAGAATGAAGTCTGACCAAAAGTCCTCATCTAACTTTAAAATAAGCATGTTTAAAATAGTAAAGAAATAATGTATAGCATTGTACATACCCAAATATGCATGTACTTACCATTTGCTTCTACTTAAAGAAAGGCATGTACCTTTAACATCTCTCAACAAGACTGTTCTTAATATACTTGCTGACCTCAAGATATCTGGAAGACAGCATGATGCTGTATTTCAACACTAAATTTTGTCTCTAATACAGAAAACATCCAATTTATTAACCAAGCTACAGGACAATGTATGGACAGTATATCTTAAAAATGTTTTTCCAGTACAGCCTAAATATACTGGAGAAACAGATGGGTTTGGGATAGAAAGGTACTATGGAAAGAGAAGAGCTAATGATTTGCTCATATAGCTTTCAATTTTAAAGCCCTACTGAAGGTGTATTAAAAACCTTAAAAATGGCCAGATAAAAAAAAAACCAAAAACCAGCAAGAAACAAACAAACAAACAAAAAAAACCCAACAAAATGCAAAAACTTGCAGTGGAAAATTATACAAACAATAGAAATATATTTGGCAAACTTGTCTCTGTAGAGTATATAAATTGATTTCTTTAGAAGGCAGAGAGAGATAACTTGATACTCATTCCAGACCCTGTTTCATTCAGCACTTTTTACACACACACTACCAGTGGTCAGTGCTCTGAAGGGCCTCCAGAGTAAGAGAGCTTTGCCTCTGAAGAGCAGCTCTGAGCAACATGTCAGGAGCAGAGCTGGCACCAGCGTGGCTCCATCGAGGCTCACATCTGTGCAGAGCCCGTGGGGCAGTCACCAGGCCTGTCCTCACTGTATCATTCTGGCTGTACTTAACAACCTCAAATCTTGCAAACAGAGCTTTTGAAATTGGAGATCACTTTGAAAACAATGCATAATTATGCTCAAGGTTACTTCACCTGGGCAGTGACCTGAATGCACGCATTCCAGGCATACAGAGGAACAGAAATGGAACACGTTTTGTCAAAGAAAGCCCCTCTCACTTTAAATAAGAGCACAAAATATTTTACAACCTCTTTGGCACTCTCCCATCACTAGAGATATTGACAATGAACAGGAAAGCTTCAAAGGTTGCATTAAAAACTGACAAAAAACATACATTTGAGAGGCATCTCTTCTGTTCAGACAAAGAAACGGAACCCCAGCGATAATTTTCCCACTCGGGATATGGAAATACAATAAGCCAGAATATTGCCAACTTAAAAGGCGGAGAAACATTTGCTCTGTACAGCTCAGTCTCTAAGACTGCTCCTATGCGCTGGTTTATACCTTCATTAGACAACACAAGAAAATCCAGGATTCATCCTATGCTATAATGCATAGTATCTTACTCGTTCACACATAGCTGATCTGTATGCATCATGTGTTTTTGAATGCTTGTCTAATTTTCAGCTGTCATGTTTAAAAGTTTCTGGACACCTGCTAAATGGGTAGTGCAAACACAGCCTAGTTTTCACATATGCTTGCGTCAAAGGCTCAAATTTAGAAAACAAAAAATTGTTTCCAAAGATAATTTCATAGTTCATTCAGTTAGTCTCAGAAGTAATAATGGTTTTAATGTTCTGTTTGTCCATGCTGCCCTCGAAACTGAATGCTGTATTTTGCAATGCTTCCAGCTCTGTTAAATATTAATGCAGATAAAGCATTTGGAAAAAGGTATTAGTATTAGCTGCGTGAAAACCGCAGCAAGATATTACTAAGCCATTACAAATGCCAAAAATGTCTAAAAACCTGAAGCTTTTTCTAAAATTGAATATTGTCACTGATGACTGTAGGATTTGCATGGCTTTCAAATTACACTTTCACAGATCAGATGGTTTTAAGCTGAACAACCTCCACACTGCTGCCTGGACTACTCCTAAAGCTGCCGTGTGTTTAAGGAGGCCTCCAGCTGCTGTGCCCTGGCCCTGGCAGCGCCTCTCCCCTCAGCCTCTGCACACCTGCAGTGCAGAACTCGGGTACACAGAACTCTGCCCTGCTCACACCACGCACAGGACAATGGACAGCACAAACTGAAACTCTACAGCTCTGATCTCAGGTTGCAACTATTAAACAAAACCACAAATATACTGGAGTAATTCTTGTATAGCTCAGGTCAGAAGCACAGCGTAGGTACATTTCTTAAAATAACTACATTTTAACCAATCTCTTTACACAAAGCAGTCAAACTTCACTTGTTACAGATTCAGTAAAGCAAAGGTGAGCATTAGATCTCAGTGTTCACCAGGAAAAGATGATGACAAGGGGACATTTAGATTTCCATGTTATGACCTGCCTACTGCTTTCAAGTTGAAACAGAAAAGGGTAGTGTCACTCCAGTTTACTCAAAGACAAGAAATTTAAGGCACATTTAATTTTTTTAAACTTTAGGACAGTTACATTTTTTATAGACATTTATATATGGAGAATTCAAAGCCAATTACTTGATTTCCCAGAACCTGTTGAGTATCTAACAATAAACAGATGGCTTTCTCCACTAAAGATGGTAATTTCAGGTTTGGTATAGAAAAATAAATTTGGCTATAAAGCAAAATATTCCTGAGTACACAATAGCAAATGAAACTTAATAAAGTGTAATATGGGCTGTTTAAATAAAGGAATTATTTCACTGGTTTGGCAAACATTGTTGCCAGATTGATAAATCTCTTGCAAAGATTTAGAGCTCTCTGTGTTAATCCAACTCTGTCCTTGGTACAATTTAACAGGTAACAACTACATAGAGTCCTAAATTAATAAACAATGAACAAAATCCACTAATACGAATGCAACCTTTGCCATAATTTAATGTTGCAGTTTACAGATTCATATAGTTACTAACAACATGCTCCAGCTGGATCACATAATGACTTTTTTGAGTCATCTAGGAAACTAGATACAGTTTTCTTCATAGGTATCTGCCATCTCACCTTATTAAGATAGCTACTGTAATTTGAGGAGTCTGCTAGAAGGGGAGGACATACAGGGAAATAAACCACCCCCTTCTCCACTCCAGCAGACTTTTCTTGGCCAGTAGTCACCTTATTACAGTTTACATAAAATAGATGATCATCTATTTGAAAGTAATTGCAATGGACTGAACTTAATGATGCAATCCAAAAATCACTTGGAGGCCCTTTTATAACAAGGAGGTGCCTACTACTTAAAAAGCACAGGTTCACAGTGTCTGGCAATCTGATTTTAGTCTTCATAACTGATGTCTTTCCCCAGATTCCAGTTCTGTTTGGAACAGACAAGTAATCCTATTACCTTACATAGAGGTAGTTTTCTTACATGCTCAGCTCCAGATATAAGTATATACAAGAGCCTCAAGAGCCACAAGGTCCCAAGAGTTTTTATCCTAATTAGTAGTGACTGAAGGGTTTTTCCAGATCCTGAATCAAAACAGAAATAAATATTTAAAATTTACCAAGGAGAACATGAAGACAAAAATAACAACAAAGCAGAGCCTGAATTAGTAGAGGAACATTGGGGTGGTGTTTCACCCCATCTGTAAAGCATACAATGAAGATGATGGAGATTAGAATCCAAGTGCCCTGAGGATGAACTGAGGATGTTCTAGGGAAACACCAGAGGTACTGATAAATGCTACTCAATTTACCAAAAATTCTTGAACAGACTCCATGCTCAGCCCTCTATTTTTTCCTCTTAAAAAATAGGTGAACTTTTACCTTTTATACTGTTGTAGTAGAATTTGAGGGGCAGGAAAGGAGAAAACTTCTTCATAGAAAAACCAACTTTTTCTTTTTTATCTAAGTTACACTTGGCAAGCTTCCTGCATTTTAAATCTTCCCTGCCCTAATATTTATGTCCTTCATAAACTACAATGAAACAGGGCAAAATGAGTCCATAAAATTTCATATCTGAAATCCAGCTTCCAGCTCAGAGACAGACTAGGAGTTATTAAAAGAAAACATACATACGTGCAAAAAAGGATCTATCTTTTTTATCCAGGTAAAAAATGCATGTTTTGATTTTCATCTTAATTGAAAGCAGCTGACTTGCTGCTTTTTTCAGCACTTCAGCCAGCCCACGAAGGGGCTGTACCAGCAGCTATGGCACCTGGGTGGAGCACAGGTAAACAGCCTGATCCCCAGCCACCACTAACACAGGGAGCTTCCTTGTTTGCTTTGAAAGGAGGAACAGAAGAAGGGAATTATTACTGACAGCCAGGAAAGAGGAACATACTTACTTCCCAAGCACAGCTTCCAGCAGCAACTGCTGGCAAATGCAGCCCCTTGAGTCTTCTCTTTTCAGGCTGTTACTCTCCCTCTCGTGAAAAAGCCAATTTCACTGACACTGAGGACAGACATGCTCTGCGGTGTCACTGAAGCAGGGATGCCCCAGGGATTATATTTGCAGAGTCAGTCATACAGATAGGAACTTGAAGCTGGCATGTTCTCTAGTGCTTCCCCGTCAGACTTCTCTGATCAATACTATAGCATCTAATCAAAAGTAAATGTTTCCACTAAAGGTTGTGCTATTTTGGGAACCTCACTCCAAATGGTTTCAAAACTCACAATAAAAGGTTAATAACAAAATCAGGAATGAGCTCAAACAGCTAATTTTAAATATAATGTATTTTTGCACCAGCGCTGGAGCTCCCTGCATCAAATTACATTCAAATACTATTCAGCCTGAAATAGCAATCACTCACAGGTGCAGGCACCAGTGCCAAAATATTAACAGCTGAACCTGAAGTTAGGAATTTTTGTATAAGGCAAGTGGAACTTGAGCTTTTTCGCTTCCATGTCTCAAGAACCTTGGAACAGTCTGATACACTGTCAGAAGCCACTAATGGCACAGGGGCTGTTTAACTGTAAGGACAGACCTCCAAATGGCTGCAATAAAATTAAGACTGTAACTAGCAAAATACTGATACTGTCTATAAACAGGTAGTGTAAGATCACTTGCAAACACACAGAAAGCCACGAGAAACACCCCCTGTTGTTAAACACTGCTCCAGGTGAGCCATTTCCTGGCACTGCTGGGGCAGCTGGAACAGACAAAAGCACCCAAGCTCCACCAGTAATTTCACACACTGCTCCCCATGGAGCACAGGCAGAGTCAGCACCTCCACATCACATTTCCTTCAGAAGCTCAAAGCAAGCATTTATGCAAACCAAGTACAACATACCAGTATTTTCTCATCCTGCCTGCTGAACAAGGGTCAGCTGAACTGCTGAACCTGCATTCACAGATTCTGAGTACACGCTACATAAAAATCAATATAACGGCACATTTCTAAAGCAAATTGTGAAACATCTCTTGCAAAATACCCAAAATAAGACAATAATTTCTGGTACCACTAAAACATTAGCTTTGTTCAATATCAAATTCAACTCATCTGAGAACTCTATTCTTTACAGTCATAAAACACATCATACACCTTGCACAGCAGGATAATGATGACCCAAGTAACAAATGCACCACAGTAAATTACTTAAAAACAGTGTAAGTTTTGCAGTGATTCTCTTTTCAAAACAGACATTTTTTATCAGTAAACTTCCTGTTGAGAGGATTTCACTTAATACAACTTAATTAAAAAAATGCATGTAAATAGTCATTTATGAAGAGTTAAGGCATTGTTTGTTAATGGCACAGGACAATTAAAGAGACTGCCATAAAGCACAGGAAAAAAGCCACATGGGCTGTATGTTTCTGTTTATCTTACACATATTACCTAAACCAGTCAGGTAACTGATTCACTTCTGGCACTTCAAGCTACTCAGTTTTATCTCTCTTTTACAATTGTGACTAAAGCAGCTGGTCACAGAAGAAATGACCCAGACTTTTTGTTTAGGGCCTGCCTGCCAATTAGGTAAAACACACATTACAACCACCAGCAGCTCTAACTTCATCACATGAGAAGTTAAACAAAATTAAGATTCAGAAAACAGAAAAATGAAAAGATAAGTTATAATATAGAGACTTAACAGTAGCTTGAGGGCAAGGAAAGCTGCTATCAGCTCCATGAAAAGGTGAAAATTTGTGCTTGCTTATCTACCATTCCTTCAGCCATTTCCCTCTCCCCTCTAAGCAAGGAGAGTCTGCCAGTTTGTGACAGGGAAATGAAACCTCACATTCCTTCATCATCTGTCATTATCACACACCAAGTGCTATCCAGATTTCCAGGTTTATGAAATATAGTATCTTTAAAGGTACATAATCTAAACATGAAGGTATCTCTAGAGAAATATATCAACATAAATACTTAAACCTCCTGAAAGCTGCACTAAGAGGTACAAATCTTAAGATTTACGCAAACTTTATCTGAGGCTTTCAAGTTGATTTTGGTGATAGACACAGTCCTGGTAATCCAAATCAGCAGCAAGACAGCAACACATACAACTTCCCAGCACTTCTCACAGTCAACTCCTACAACACAGCTGCTCTGGAATACCAGTGCACCCTCTCTGGAATACCCTCACCTGTGGCCAACAGCATTTAACAAATTCTTACCAAGTTACAGATCACTTCTAATCTAGTTTACTACAGTGCTACTCTGCTGTAATATGGTATTCTGCATTACATGCTTTTCCAGGGGGCTGTATTTGTGATAATAAACATGTGACACAAAGCTTAACATATAAGGCTGTACAGTAAAATTATGTATTTGTAATGGAATACATTGCAGAGTTCTTATATTCTTAAATATTCTTGTTTTATTAAGTCATTAGACATCAGCAGAGACTCTATTAGAAAAATATCTTCCATTCCCTTTAAAACAGGTTTTAGATTCAAATGCTAGGAGGCTGTAAATGAGACAGACAGGCTGCAGCATGCAATACTAACTAGCATGTAAACTGGCATTTCTGATGATGAAGATTCTCATCCTACCTTTCCTCTTGATTTTTTTTATTGACTCCTGAACTGTGACTTTAATTAATCATGAATAAATTTATTAGATAGCATTTTTCTAGAACAAGCATTATCAGAATGAGTAGTGCTATATCTACAGAAAAAATATCACTCTGCAAACTCTGCTGTGCTACATTTGATAGGAGAGCATCTCTACAGCTTCTTCAGTGTAATGTCATATGAAGCTCCACTACAGATTGGTTCCATGATGACTCCTATTATCACAATATATAATAAGATGTTGTGTCTTCCAGGTCAGTTTTGTCACAGAAATCACAAACCACAACAGCCTCAACAAAAGAAAATTTGTGTAACTCTACATTTTGGTAAAGAAGCTGTTATGACAACAGATTAAAAGACTATTCTTAGCAAAACTCTCTTTTTCAGAAATAACAGGATAAGACAAGGATCTTTCAGTTCCTTAATCCTTTTTCAAATAAAAGATTATAGAAAAGAATGGTAAATGGGGAGAAAATCACAATATGCATGTTTTTCAAAGCTTATAATATTCAGATTTATTGCAGGGCACTATTTGTCAATTTAATTTGTTTTGATTTTTTGTAAATACTGCTCTTAAAATCTGGAATCAGTGAAAATTCAGTAAAGCAACAGTTCAACGAACTGTTCTATTTTAATCATCCGATTTAACTGTCAGAAGTGCAATATAAGTGCCTGCTGCTGGACCCAGAAAACACATGTAATCATAACCATGCCTAAGCCATGACTGAAACTACTGCATTCAAGGGAATGCCATTCCATACTGCCTTATGTAGCTCCCTTTTAGCAGAATCACGTGTCACGGCCCATTCAACTTAGTCAGGTACTTGAAAAAACTTAACCATGTATAACTTAAAATTGAAAAGGAAAGAATAAATTACTAATCTGGGCACAACACTGTTGCAGATGACTACTTAAGGGACCACTAATTCCCACCATTCCACAAAGGCCTGCCCTCATATGGTAGCTCTGTACATCCAGTGACCACTGGCAAAGCAAAAATGAGGCAAACCATCAGCAAAATGAAGCAGTAAATGTAACTCAGAATGCTTCAATAAGATCTGCACAAGTTTAGAAACAAAATCCTACCCTGAGAGTAATCCTGGAGTGGGAGGAAATGTTTGCTCTTTAACCTCTTTTTGCAGGGGAAAAAAGCATATAAATCTAAATGTTTCAGCAAAAAAACCAAATAAAATGGTTCTTTAATTGTTTTAAAGGATGACAGCAAACAAAAGATACCAAGTGACCTAAAATAGTAATTAAATATCAGTGATCAAGAGGACAATAGCTACAGAACATTAGAGGAAGGAAGGATTTGGGTAACAGCTGGGAAAAAAGTTTTCATAATGTTTTAAAACTACATTAATTTTAACCTTTAATCCCAGCTACGAAAACATAGAATCCAATTATGAATGTGCTACTTTTGTTAATTCATGCATTTATCTGTGAAATACAAGCAGATTAATGTGCTATGAAATCCCATCTAAAGTATTTGGCATGAAATACCTCTATAATA